TCTGGCCACCAGAGGGGCCGTCCATGATCTCGTCACCTCCTCATGCACCTCCGGAAAGAAAGGAACCGGGGCGGTCTGGCTCGGACAACGCTACCACACCCGAGGGGGGCAACGCAGCCGAGTCGTCATCCCCAGAAGCTGACTCTTCTCCCTCCAATGCAGCGATCGACATCTGGTCCTCCGGTGGGGCCCCGAAAGAAACGACTGGAGCCACACGAGCCCAGCGCGCTCCTCCAAGGGCCCCAGTGGCAGCGATGCAGAGGAGTGGGATGTCCGAGGGGGTCTTTCACCCGGCGGATCATTCCTCACTGTAACCCTCAGACCACCAATGGGATTAGCCGAAGTAGCCTTTTTCTGGAGTGAACCAGAAGAAGAACTAGATCAGGGAATCTCCAAAGGGACTCCCCCTCGAGTGAGGGTTCGCAGTCTAAGGCTCAATCCCAATTCACCCCTTGCCCCACCCCTCCGTTTTGCGCGTTCACGTCAAGGGGTAGGGTGTCCCGATTCCTGTTTAGATCGAGGGGTAGGGCTAAGGGGTAGGGCTACATACCCCTCAAAACGGAGATTTTTCAGAGGCACACTCCAAACGGAGGGCTACGAGAAAGTTCGCAGAATACATCGCGAATCACCGGCGAGATGGCTTCACAAATGGTTAAACATTTAAATTTAGCACCAGATGACACCACCGTGCACTTTATTTACTCTTATAATAATGATATAGTCATTTAAATTAAAAAATTGTATAATAAATTACCTTTCCGAAACAGAAAAGACATACATTTCGAGGAAGGAACCTTATAAGCATCATGTTTCCTCAAAGTTAAGAGCAGATTGTCAGTCGTTGTCATGGAGAAATCCTGTATAAACTCTGTAACGTCAGAGCCATCGCCGACGACCGATGACGTATCGGGTTCACGAAGGGTTGTTTCATTTCGTAGGGGAATATTTCAACCCCTTGGCCCTTGTAACTTTGTTTTAAGGGCCAAGGGGTACACTCGAAAACAAGGGGTAGGGCCAAGGGGTGAATTGGGATTGAGCCTAAGTTTTAGCACCGCGATGGTCATGTTCCCACAGTGAGAACATGACTCATTCACGAGCGCTGCCTCAGCGTGCGCGAGGCCCAAGCGCGAGAGGCAGCGATCATGACCATAACCCGGAGGCAGAAGTTGACCGCATCCAGAAACGAACAACGCTACCTGAAACGTCATCCTGAAAAGGACGCGATCTTCACTCGTGTTGCTCTTTCACAGAAAAACACTCTCTTTATTGTGCTGAAGCACACAGGGACCAACGCGGCAACTCAGCGGGGAAACTGCAAGCCCGCTGTGCGCACTCAACCGCATACCAGCTGTGACAACAGCTCTTTGAAAAAAAAAGGCAGATCGCATGAAGCAACAGCTGGCACCCGGGAGATCGCGAAGATCGCTGAAGCGCCGTCACACCAACACAGAGAGGTCTTCGGAGAAACAGCAGACTCATTGAGCGTGAAGATATCTCTAATCTTAAAGCTCATCACTCAGAGGACACACCGGTCGGCTCCGAAGCTAAAAGCATATATGTATGCGCTCGCTTCCGCTTTATACCCGGACTGGCAGGCGGGGCGCGGAATGCAAGTCCTACATGCCAATATTCATTGGCTCGTTTTTAATTCACTCGAAGGCAATTGGTCTCCCTAGCGTGATCCCAATTCGTTGGAAACTCCTCCGACGAGACGTAGGAGTTCCCTAACGAAAGGGAAATGAAAGCTTTAGCGCAAGTTCTGCCGGGAAGACTCAATTGTTACGTCATTCATTACCTTCTCATCTATCCAATTGCGTTCTAATATTTGTGGTATAAAAGATGGGTACTTACACATGTCTGAGTTCGCAGATGCTGACGCTTACATTCACCTCCACCCTCCCCACCACCAAGTTGGTTCCTTCCATCCATCCTCCCCACCACCACCAGGATGGTCTCTTCCTATACCTCACGGGGGTTTGACTGCGCCCCTGCCTTCATCTTCAGGCAGGAAATGCAGAATCCGTACCCTCGGATCGCGAGTTATGGACGGGGCCTACGCCAAAGAACTCTATTGCATATATTGCTTGCTGGGCTGCTAATAAATGGTTTATTGTTTCAATATTATTTTCCCGAGTCTTTCTGGTAGAACTAACCTTTTAAGACACAGTCTTTCACATTGCAACTTGCCCCTGTTTTCAACATGCATAATAATAAGAAATATTTATTGAGCACCAAATCAGAATTATTTCTAAAGGACCAAATCAGAATGATTTCTGAATTATCATGTAATACTGAAGACGGGAGTAATGGCTGCTGAAAATATATCTTTGCCATACCACAAATAAATTACATAGAAAATAGAAAACAGCTATATCAATTGTAACTAGAAAAAAAGTTTGATGAGACAAACTTTAAGTTGGCTTGAAAAAGCCGGACCAGAGAGTTTGAAGAAGTTTAAAATAGTTTGAAGTTTGATAGATGGATTAGTTAGAAAGAAAGAATAGTTAGAAAGAAAACGATACGTTAGAAAGAAAAGAAAGATTAGTTAGATAGATAGAAAGATTGGTTTCAATAAAAGAAAGATTAGTTTGAAAGAAAGATTAGTTAGGAAGAAAGATAGATAGATTAGTAAGAAAGAAAGAAAGATTAGTTAGAAAGAAAGATGGATTGGTCAGAAAGAAAGATGGATTAGTCAGAAAGAAAGAAGGATGGATTAATTAGAAAGAAAGATAGATCAATAAGAAAGAAAGATAGATTAGTAAGTAAGAAAGAAAGAAAGATAGATCAGTAAGAAAGAAAGAAAGATAGATTAGTTAGAAAGAAAGAAAGAAAGACAGAAAGATTAGTTAGAAAGAAAGATGGATTAGTCAGAAAGAAAGAAAGATGGATTAGTCAGAAAGAATGAAAGATTAGTTAGAAAGAAAGAAAGATTAGTTAGAAAGAAAGATAAGTTAGAAAGAAAGATAGATCAGTAAGAAAGAAAGAAAGAAAGAAAGAAAGAAAGAAAGAAAGAAAGAAAGAAAGAAAGAAAGAAAGAAAGAAAGAAAGAAAGAAAGAAAGAAAGATTAGTTGGAAGGAAAGAAAGAAAGAAAAAAAGAAAGATTAGGTAGAAAGAAAGAAAGATTAGTAAGAAAGAAAGAAAGAAAGAAAGAAAGATAGATAGATTAGTTAGAAAGAAAGATTAGTTAAAAAGAAATAAAAAAAGATTAGTTAGAAAGAAAGAAAGAAAGAAAGAAAGAAAGAAAGAAAGAAAGAAAGAAAGAAAGAAAGAAAGAAAGAAAGAAAGAAAGAAAGAAAGAAAGAAAGAAAGAGATTAGTTAGAAAGAAAGAAAGATTAGTTAGAAAGAAAGAAAGATTAGTTAGAAAGAAAAAAAAATGATTAGTTAGAAAGAAAGAAAGATTTGTTAGAAAGAAAGAGATTAGTTAGAAAGAAAGAAAGAAAGAGATTAGTTAGAAAGAAGGAAAGATTAGTTAGAAAGAAAGAAAGATTGGTTATAAAGAAAGAAAGATAGATTAGTTATAAAGAAAGAAAGATTAGTTAGAAAGAAAGAAAGAAAGAAAGATAGATTAGTTAGAAAGAAAGAAAGATTAGTTAGAAAGAAAAAAGATAAATTAGTTAGAAAGAAAGAGATTAGTTAGAAAGAAAAGAAAAGAAAAAGATTAGTTAGAAAGAAAGAAAGATTAGTTAGAAAGAAAGAAAGAGTAGTTTGAAAGAAAGAAAGATTAGTTTGAAAGAAAAGAAAAGTTAGAAAGAAAGATTAGTTAGAAAGAAAGAAAGAAAGATGGTTAGATAGATAGATAGATAGATAGATAGATAGATAGATAGATAGATAGATAGATAGATAGATAGATAGATAGATAGATAGATAGATAGATAGATAGATAGATAGATAGATAGATAGATAGATAGATAGATAAGTTCATTAGTACATATAGAATGGTAGTTTAATTGAGTCTAGGGCTTCAGGGAGTTTAGATTTGAGTTTTTGTGTTGTACACTTGGGCCACCGTAGCCTTGGCTCAATTTGAACTGTTGCAATGAAAGTCAATGGGATTTTTATGATTTTTAATATTAATTTTTAAGAAATCTGAAAGTCAGAAAGTCCTTCTAGAGTTAAAGCTCTAGGAGGAGTTAGAGTCAGAAAATTTTGGGTAAGAAGAAGAAGAAGAAGAAGAAGAAGAAGAAGAAGAAGAAGAAGAAGAAGAAGAAGAAGAAGAAGAAGAAGAAGAAGAAGAAGAAGAAGAAGAAGAAGAAGTTTAAATAGGATTTCAGTAAGTTGGCTTTCTCAAGCCAACTTAATAATAATAAGTTTAAATAGGATTTCAGTAAGTTGGCTTTCTCAAGCCAACTTAATAATATTTCACAAAATTACTGTTTTTACTGTATTTTTGATCAAATAAAAGCAGCCTTGGTGAGCATAACAGACTTCTTTCAAAAACATAAAAAATCTTACTAGATCCAAACTTTTGAAGTTAGCGTACATCCAAATGCAAATAGAAACATGTATACTAGGGGTGCAACGATACCCTATGTCACATTGGGTGTGGAAATGAATAGGCTTGGACTTGGTGCTGGTAACCCTCTGCACAGAAAAATAGTCATGATTCTGAAGCTGAAAATACAGAATTATTTCAGACGAATATGCTTCCACTCTGTCACTCACTGACTAGATATATTTAAAAATAATGTAGGCAACTTTTTACTGGTAACATAAGATATTTGGCATTATCAGGACCCACAAATATTCCCCAATTGCATTATTATACATTATATTCAACATTATATATAGTAGTTTAATGTAGCACTGACACTAAAACTCTGTAAACTTGAATTTTTTCACGCACAGTAATTTTCATTTTGGGTGAATTATACACAATACATATTGTCACTATCCACGATACATATTGTTGTATTTTTGTATTGTGATATATTGTGACACGATATATTGTTACACCCCTAATATTTGCACAAAGCAAGTAGCAAAAAGACAGACGCTGACCTTCCGTGCTTTAGGCTTGCTTTCAGCTTTAGATTCGTCATCTGAGGAGCTTGAGTCAGAGCTGGAGCTGTCCTGCTTCACTTTGATCTTCTTTGCTTTTATCAAGATCTTCCCTTTTAGGTCCTGTCATAAAAAAGATATCTCAATATCTTTTTTTTTATCTACCACACATCTAAATATTTGCATTATAATATTATTTCACTTGGTCATTGTTAAGCAGGACCATCGCTAGAGGGATGAAAGGTGGTTACATTGCTCAGGGCCCCTGTCTTTCAGGGGATCCCTGCTATTTAAACCTGAGGGGTACCCATCCATCCTATCCACGCCCCACCCACACCCCCAGAACCGTGATTTCAATCGAGGAAGCCCTACAGCAACAACCTGCACTGGGGCTCCAGATACAGATAAGGCCCTGGTGTTGAACATGGAATTGTATAATAGCAGAAATAGCACTTGCTAATTTCTCCATTCTGTCACCTGATGGAGTTTTGGTTCCTTGCCACTGTCACCTTTGGCTTTTGGCTTGCTTAGTTGGGGATACTTAATATTCAACAATATTATTGATCTGCCTGCATTGACACCATTATATGAGAACTGAACTGAGCTGGACGATGACATCATTGTTTTCCCCAGAGTGGCTCTATACTGTATATATACACTTATATATATATAAGAAATTTATATAAATTAACTAAATTAATAACTGTTTTTACAACAAAAATTAACCATCACTGAACTTACTTAAGCTGGACTATGACGCTATTTTCTTCTAGATCTGCTGTACAGCAGAAATCTTTGTTGTTTTATTTTCCAGTTATCACTGTAAAGCTGCTTTAAATCTATTGTAAAAAGCGCTATATAAATAAAGGTGTCTTGACTTGACATTAAAGGTAAATGAGACCAACAAATTTCAATAGAGTCTACACAAAGTATTCAAAAGCACTTTGTGGATAGCACTGTCAATGAAATCTATGTATTCTTACAGATTAGAGGTGTTAAAAATTACAAGGCATATGCTCAGATATATTCACAGTTAACCTAGAAGAACTGTTATGACAGTCAAGCACTGTCTTTTGCATAAAATTCAAAACATTACAGATAGACTGCTTTTACTGGTTTTAGAGTACATTTCATGAAAACTATTTTAAGGAAAGGCTGACTGTATTACCTCTGGTGATGGCAGCCACTGAAGCGGCTTGTCATTGAGAGGTTTGGTGAGCAGTTTGTCTCCCAGAATTGACTGCAGCAGTTGGGCCATCATTGTCTGCTGCTCCACACAGCAGTGGTTCTCCAGAGACAGAATAAGAGGATATGGAGAAGTCTAGAAAATAAGCATATATTCATGTATACATATGTATTTATGTATGTTTTCTTTTATTTTACCTTTTGGCATTTTTAAGGCAAGGCCTATTTTCAAAGGAAATACAATACAATACAATTTTATTTGTATAGCACATTTAAAAACAACTGACGTTGACCAAAGTGCTTAACAAAGCAATAAAAAACGTAAACAATACATGCACGAAACCAACAAATACACATGAAAGAGAAAAAACGGACACATCAAGGTATATTAAAAGCTAGTGAAAAGAGGTGCGTTTTCAGAGAAGTTTTAAAAAGTGTCAAGGTTTGGGCAGATCTGATATTTGAGGGTAGGCTATTCCTTAGCTTGGGTCCATAAGCTGCGAAAACACGGTCACCCCTATTTTTTAATCTGGTCCTGGGGACAGAAAGTAAGTTTGAATCCCCCGATCTTGACTTAGATTCTGGGTGAAGCAGTTCAGATAGGTACTGGGCAGCTAAATTCTGTAAAGATTTAAAAACAAAAAGCAAAACTTTAAAATCTATTCGGAATTTAATCGGTAGCCAGTGAAGCGAGATCAGAACCGGAGTAATATGTTCAAATTTACGTTTTCCTTTGAGGAGGCGTGCAGCTGCATTTTGGACTAATTGTAGACGGGTGATATGTTTCTGAGGAACTCCAATATATAAAGAATTACAATAGTCCAATATGGATGTTACAAAAGCATGCATAGCTATCTCAAAGTGTTTACCAGACAAAAATGGCTTAACCTTAGATAAGAGACGAAGATGAAAGAAGCAGGATTTTACCACAGCACTTATCTGCTTTTCAAGGTTAATGTTGTTATCAATCCAGACCCCCAGATTCTGAATACAGGTGGTACTGTAAGGTGACAACGTTTGAAGGTCACAAGCATGTGTACTACGATCACTGGGGCCAAACAGGATAATTTCCGTCTTGTTTTCATTCAGACTCAAAAAGTTACCAGTAAGCCATAGTTTTAGTTCATTTATACAGTCCAGTAGTGGCTTTAAGGCAGACTTGTCATCACGTTTTAGGGGCAAGTAAATTTGGGTATCATCGGCGTACAGGTGAAAAGAAACCCCATGTTTAGTTAAAATAGAACCCAGAGGTAACATATACAGGTTAAATAGTTCTAAATAGTATCCCAAGGATAGAACCCTGCGGAACGCCGGACCCAAGTTTCATTTTAGATGAGCACTGTTTCCCGATGCGAACAGAAAAGCTTCTGTTAGACAAATATGAGCGAAACCATTCCAACACCATGCCCCTAAAACCAAAGGAAAGAGGCTAAACACATTATGTAGACTGACAAATGGGGTCTCACTTAGGAGCCCTAATCACCTTGGTGAATTGGGGAGTGGAATTTGCATGACAAGCCACTCCCTCGTACATATGGGTATATAAGGTGGTGGCACACATCCACTTATTCAGGTTTTTGCTTCGGAACCGAGTGGTTGTCTGTTTCTCTCACAGGTCACTCTTCTATTCACATAAAAGAGCTCAAGAAAACCTCTTGCTGGAAGCCACAGTGTGTGCACAGATAAGTGCATCGATTCCCCCTGGGCATTTCATCTTAAAAGAGCAGTTTTCCCTAAAAGAGCAAGCACGGGTGGCGAGTGTTTTTTTACAGATGCCTTTCCGTCCGTGTGTTTCTGGATGCTGTCGTTTCCTGTTCTCATCTGACGGCCACGATCGTTGAATCACATGTCTGGGCCATAAGCATGCTGAGACAGCCCTCTTGGATGGTTCATGTCCACATTGCAAGAACACGACTATGTCGACACTGCGATCGTGACTTTCCTTCCTCGTAAAGGGTAGAGTCTCCTCTGTTGTTACCCAGCCTGGTTCCTCTGCACTGCAGAGGGTTGCAGTGGTTAACACTCTGGGAGCCTGTGGTTTACAGTTGGAGCACTTCCGCATGGCCAGTCCCCACCTCCCTCTCCTCCAGCATGTTGTGTGTCATCGAGCTGCCGGATGAGGGCAGGGCACGGGTCCTTCTCAGGGGGGACACAGCGTGTCATTTTGGTGCTCTGGGTGAGGACCTGATGTCGATAACTGCATTGGAAAGTGGGCTACTGTCCTCTGGAGAGGAAGATGAAGCTGTGCTTCCCCTTTCTGGAGTTATGAGTTGACGGCCATGCTTGCCCGGGCCGCCGCAGGCATCAGACTCCTGAGCACTCACGGTTGGATGATGGGTTCCTGGCTGCAGCACATGGTTCACAGACGAGTCTTGCACCAGTACTTTCTTCCCAGAGATGCACAAGGAGGATCAGAAGTCATGGAAGGAAACTTTCATTGCTTGAAGCCGCTTCGCAGCCTCCTCCACTCTCACTACCCTTGATGGTGGGGCCGCCAGGGGGTACGTGGATATTCCTCAGGTGGAGCATGCAATTGTTGTGCCCTTCCATTAAGAACTGGCAGTCACTCTGCGCCAGTTTCAGCCGTTGCGCCATTCACATTCCGGACGACCTCAATCGTGCGGACTACGTGCTCTCACGACAGCTCTTTTTACTCCTTGTCCGAGGCACCCCCTCGGCACGAACGCGCTGGCATAGCCAGGTCCTGGGGCCTAAGCAAATACGCGTTTCTCAGAGATGGGGCACCATATGGCACCCGAATCCAGACCTCTGGAACCTCTACGTGTGGCTTCTGGATGGGACATGGAGGACTTCAGTGACCTACCACCGGTGGCGGTAGACAGTTTCAATCAAGCCAGAGCCCCCTCTACTAGGCAAGCTTATGATTGAAGTGGAATCTGTTCACTGAGTGGCGCTCTTCCCACCAAGAAGACCCCCGGAGATGCCTAATCAGCTCTGTGCTTTCCTTCCTGCAAGAGAGGTTGGAGCGGAGTCTGTCCCACTCCACCTTGAAGGTATATGTTGCCGCCATTGCGGCACATCATGGTGCAGTTGATGGTAGGACACTAGGAAAGCACAACCTGGTTATTAGGTTCCTGAGAGGCACCAAAGTTCCCACCACTCCTTTTCGGGACCAGATGGTGAACTTGCAAGTGCTGCCCCCAGAGGAGGCAGACCCAGCCCTTGCGTTGCTGTGTCCCGTTCGAGCCCTGCATATTTACGTGGACCACATGCAGAGCTTCAGAAGCTCTGAGCAACTCTTTGTCTACTTTGGAGGTCAGCAGAAGGGAAAGGCTTTCTCCAATCAGAGGTGGGCCAACTGGATAGTGGATGCCATCGCCTTGGCGTACCTATCCCAAGGCTTGCCGTGCCCCCTCGGAGTGAGGGCTCACTCCACTAGGAGTATTGCCTCCTCCAGGCATTGGCACTTGTTCTGGCAGACATCTGCAGAGCTGCGGGCTGGGCGACACCTCACACCTTCTACAATCTCCGGGTTGAGCAGGTTTCATCCCTTGTGTAGGGTACACACGGGTAAAGTGCGGGAGGGCTGGCTTGGTGTCTCGCTTACAGCACTATTCCCTTCTAAAGGGGGATACGAGCACCTTCTAAGCTCTCCATGTGAGATCCCAAGTTGGCAAACCCTGGATTGAGTTCCTCCAAACATCCTCTGGCAGTCAAGCGCAGCGGAGTTGTCCGACGCGAGGCCCAGTACTTGAGATGTATGCCCATTCTGTCAGCCCTTGTACTGGGCTAGATGCCCCATATGTTGAGACTCCCCTCTGGTAATCCCATATGTGTATTCTTCCACGGTATGGTTTCACCCGGCTGAATGGGTGATGAGTGCCGTCATCTTATATACCCGTATGTATGGGGGAGGGTCTCGGCATGCAAATTCCACTCACCAATTATTCAATTTACCCTTCGCAGGGAGTTTGATTGACAGGCAATCTGACCAATCATAATCCGCCATCTGCCCATTTTTGTCCGACAAAGCAGTCAGGAGAGTTAGTAGATTAACGTCGGTGGATTTGAACTTGAAAAGCGATGTGTACTGACATCTTTCCACGGTTGAAACAACAATCCTTCTGATGTTCAATCATGTTTATTTGATTCTATAAATTAACTAGAAGGAAGAGATGATCAGTTCAAGAGCAGCTTTAACTGAGGCTCTACAGCGATCTGTCACAACACATTAAAGGACAAGTTCGGTATTTTACACTTAAAGCCCTGTTTTAAGATCGTTTCTGATGAAATAGAACAATTAAGATTGAAATTTGGATACATGCTGCTGGCCTGAGAATTTCCGGTTTCTGTGGTTGAAATCCTCACCTCCACAATGGTTGCATAGGTGCACTGGAACAATCCTACCTAAAACGCATTAAACTTTAGTTTACAAAGACGTGAAACTCACAGAGTGGTCTGGGGTGTTCACTGATAAGCTCACACAAAAATCGCAGCAAAAGATGCTTGTGTCTGCGCAAATCCTTTCACTCCAGACTTTACAGTCTCCCGACCAATACTGGTCACGGCAGTAATGAAAGGCAGTGTGCGCACTTTAACACCCCCCCCCCCCCCCCCCACCCCACCCAACCACCACCACCACATATTTGTTTACTGTTATTATTGTTGTAATGAGTGGTTTTATGTAATTCGCTGGTGTATGTTGATGATAATACAAGGGAGAGAGAGACTTTAATGCGCACTTCTTGTACTGTGTTTTATTCAGCTCTTACTGTGATTTTCTGGAGTGAAAATGGACGCTTCATCTTTTGTGTGATGTACAATAAACTTCATAAAACTGATTAGTAAAGTTTTGGCTATCATTCGGATGGGGTCCGCTACAACAGGCTTTCTATTTCTGAAATTTTATTGTGTGAGATTGTCCTCTTTTGTTTCCACCAGAGCATGAGTTCTTGAAGCTCTGCCCTCTTCTTGAAAGGGGGCTGGGATCAGCAGCTCATTTGCATTTAAAGGGAAACACACAAAAACGACGCGTTTTTGCTCACCCCAAAAAAGTGGCAATTTTAACATGTTATAAAAAATTATCTGTGGTGTATTTTGAGCTAAAACTTCACATACACACTCTGGGGACATCAGAGACTTATTTTACATCTTGTTAAAAGTAACATAATAGGTGTCCTTTAACCCTCTGGGGTCGGCAATCTGCTCGCTTTTTTTTCTTATCAGTGCAAAACAAACTCAAAATACTCTTGATCTTACATATAAGTGTTGCACATCATTCAAAACTGTTAAACTGTCTTCTTTTATTTGTGTACACTCATAATAAAAACAAAATGTTGTGTTTTTCGTAAAATAAAGAAAATAAACATGATGCGCGTTCTCCCGTCTCTCTCAATGAGAAGTTCATTCTGAAACGCGACAGAAAATGACCTATAACTTACAAAATTTTCTTACAAAAATTTTCTTACAAATTTTAAATCAATATATTGGGCCCTATCTTGCACCCGGCGCAAATAACTTTGTACACTGACGCATGTATCATTCCTATTTTGCACCCGCGCAAAGCGGGCTTTTCCCTCCACAGACGCACGTCGGTAAACTAGGAAATGAACTTGCGCTCCCTGGGCGGGTCGGCACAAAAAGGAGGCATGTTTCGGCGCAAACATTCCCTAGAGCTATTTTGGAGTTCCAGAAAACAATTCCGCCACTGACCAGAAAAAAAACTAGTCTAAAGTCAGTGGCGCGTTGCGCGTTGTTCATAATGCTATTTTAAGCGCGCATGCTTGGCCATAATGTAGCGGGTGCACAACGTGCATACACTTTGATTCTCTCATCAACACAGATGCAGCAGTTTTTATTTGTGCAAATCATACATTATAACAAGGAAAAATATTAACACATGAGGGAAATCATTGTGGTGTCCATGAAGATGTAAAAAAAATTAGGCTTAAATCTAGCTTACACATTTACCCAGATTTTTAGTAATGACGGATCAGACCTGTTTGCCCAATAGTGGCAAGACACATGTATATAAGGACATCTGACAAATTAGTTTGTCCGTCAAGAACCAGGAGAAAAAAAATCTCCCATCCCCATACAACGTCACTTCTCTGTCTTTCACTGCCCTGACAAGAACGTCGGTCTCCTCGGCCGTGAACCGCTCCTGGCGCGCGCCTGGTAAATCCGCCATAATAATAACAATCCGCCATGCAACATGCGCACCTGCTCTTAAAGGGTATGTTGGATGACGCTCTGATTGGTTTATTTCACGTTACGCCCAAACCACATCTATGAATAATGAAGCTATTTCAGACCAACCCCTTTTAAACTTGCGTCGGGCGCAAGAGTCATTTATCCCGCCGGTAAAATAGCAACAGCGCCCAAGACCCGCTCACAAAGTTACTTGTGCTTCGCGCTTGATACTTGCGTTTCAGATCGTTAAAATAGGGCCCATTGTCTTATCTGAATGAGTAGTCAAGATGATTTTCACATAGTTTTGAAGCAAATATTCTAGGCTATGTGATACAATTTTCAAAAGTCTTGTGAAGAAATAATTAGTATGGGATCCATGACCTTATTTCAGTGACAATGTTTTTTAGTTTATTCACACACAAAAAAAACATCATTATCTCACTAAAAAACGTCATTATCTCAAAACTAAAAACTTTTACATACATGCTGCTGACATATTACTGTAGCAGAGTTTGTGCTGAATACAGTGTAATCAGACTCTAGCCATGAAAATGTCACAAAAGTAAAGTATCAGAAAAAAGCATAAATGTCAGAGCATGTCAGAACACCTCCAGGGCCCAGAAAACACCTCAGACCCCAGAGGGTTAAGGTAAAAACAACCGTTTGCATTATTTCCCAAAATAAATGCATCACCCAGTGAGATGAAGATGAAGAGCCACTTCCTGTGCTCACCCTGAAAGCGTATTCAGCAATGACCTTCACCACCTCGCTAAATGGCACTTTGGATGTGAGGGTGTGCCCATGGTAAATAACTGGCTCCTTTTCCCCATCCCAGCAGTCCAGCTCCACACAGCGACAGCCTTGTCTTAGAGCTCTGTGCCACAAACAAACATAAACAATTTTACAATATTTGTTCAAGAAAAAGCATATGTGTGAAATATGTTTGTGTGAAAGATTTCACTGAAAAGGTCATCTCGTCCAGTATGCATGTAAATGTGAACACGTTATCTGCTAAAAGCGCCAGTGCTGTCTTTTTATATATATTTGAGCATTTTACCTGATATAAGCGTGAACGCTGCTCTCGCTGATGAGTTGATCTTTAGTGAGGTAGGTGTTGTGTGAGGAGGAGATAAAGTAGTGACTGAGTGGATGGTTCATGTCCTGGTAGACTCTGCTGTGCTCTGGGTTGTACACATCATTCTCCTTAGACAGCATGTACATGGTGAAACCATTGGGCGTCATAAACTGGTTCTTCTGGGCTGCAAAAGACAGAACAAAGATGCATATCTACGCTCAGTATCACATGCCTGGAAAAAAGTGCAAATTGCAATAAAATAATACTGATTATTACTGTAAATTAAGTGTACAAATACCCCATTCATTGAGTTCATAGTTGAGAATAAGGCTCTGAGCATGCACAAGTGTGTGGTCCTCGCCCTGGTCTTTCAGGAATTCTCGCAAATCCACGGTGGACAAGACACAACCATTGGCGGAGTACTGCTGAAACACTGCATCCAGCTCAGGCCGACGTAGCAACTCACGGCAAAACAGCTCAATTTCCTCATGTTCAAGCCGTCCGTCTTCTGATTTATCACACTTCTGATACACAAATTATATATTTATACACATATCAAGCAAATTTATTTATTTTCATTTTTCCACTCTAAAAAAAAAGAAAAAGGATTTTAAGAACATGAAATACATTTCATGTTCTTAAAATCCATTTCGTCTTTAGTGTTCATTATTGTCTGTGTTGCTTTTACAGAACTTTATTTGTTCTGTAAATAAAGTATTTCCAATTGAAGCATTTCAAAGCAGGTCAAGTGCTGCTGAGCAATAAGGCTGACCTTAAAGAGGTTGGCAGCATATTCGTCATTCAGGTCTATGTTGATCATCTTGAAAAGGATCTGGACCTCCTTGTATGACATCTTGCCATCTTTGTTCATATCAGCTTGTTTCAGGTAGCCATAGATCCAAGTGAGAGTGGTCAAGGGTATTAACCGGTTAAAATTGGGTTATCAGTTTAATGCATTAAAGGGATACTTCACCACTGGGAGGGAGCACCTCAGATACTCTCTGAATGTGTATTTAATATTGGTCATTTATATAGTAGAAATGTGAAATTATTTTTTGAAATTGAAGCATTCTAGACTGAGAAAAGGCAGAAAATGTATTTTTTACTCATGTGGCTGAAAGACAACAACTCCCAGAATGCACTTGCTTTGCTGCCCTTACGAGGCCACTCCCAAACCACGCCTACCGGTTACAGGCGGCAGAATCCGAAAAATGGATACAACTAGGCTTGCTTTGATACATCGTGAGTTATTTGTTAAATTTCCATCGAAATGGTGCTAAATTGCATTGTACCGGGATGTACTAGCCTAATGTATATAACACAACTTAGACTTTCACATTAAAAATATGATGCAAGGCAGGACCATTGCAACAGAGTAGTAGCTCTGCATATGAACTGTTTTCCTCCAATTGAAATCACTATTTCTCTAAGCCAATACATTATCTAGGCTAATCCATACTCTAGTAACACTAAAGGTTTAGAAAAAGAACCACAACCAATGTGAGTTATAACTTTTAATTAAAAAATAATTAATATTAACACTTTTACACTCAAAGCTCTGCGGATTCAGCGATCTCATCCAGAAGAAAATGGCATCGCTGAGATTCGCGACAGCAATAGGACTCTATATCTGTTTCCATAGGCGCACAGCGAGAGCACTGACACCGCCAGTCCGCCCCAGCTCGAGTCTGGCCGGGCTCAGGTCTCGCTCCGGCCACCTCTTGTTCCTCCATCTCCCGCAACTGTTTATCGCTGTATTGCGGCTCGTACAGGTAGCCGCGAGCATCAGATTCTCGCAACAGATCTTCGAAATCCCCTTCTGCCATTTCAACTTCAAAACTACCTTCCGCCATCGTGATTAGCCTACTATACAAACTTTCTACACAGACCAAGAGGCAAGAGCCTGTTAGCTTAGCTTCTACAGAAAGATGGCTGACACTATCTTTACATTCTGTGAGTGAGATCCCGCCCCATATGGGCGTGGTGAAAACATGCGGAACACTGGCTGTAGTCTTTAGCCTCTGGCACAAAAAATCCTCTGATGACGCAAAATGACGATTTTTTCCAGACTAAAATTTTTTTTTTTTATCTCATATCAGGGGGAGGGAGGGGGGGGGGGAGCACGGTAATTCGAAAATACTACTGGTTTTCTACTGATACAAAGCTTAAAGCTGACTCTCTGTGGTCACAAAAAATCCCAGGATGTCTTTCGAAAGAGTAGGGGTGTAACCCCGGCATCCTGGCCAAATTTGCCCAGTGGCCTCTGTCCATCATGGCCTCCTAATCATCCCCATATATATATATATATATATACCAATTGGCTTCAACACTCTGTCTCCTCTCCACCAGTAAGCTGGTGTGTGGTGGGCGTTCTGCCGCAATATGGCTGCCGTTGCATCATCCAGGTGGATGCTCACATTGGTGGTGGTTGAGGAGATTCCCCCTTCTATGTGAAGCGCTTTGAGTGTCCAGAAAAGCGCTATATAAATGGGATGATTAATTATTATTATTATTAATTAAAGGGATACTCCACTTTTTTTGGAAATAGGCTCATTTTACAACTCCCCCAGAGTTAAACTGTTGAGTTTTACCGTTTTTGAATCCATTCAGCCGATCTCCGGTTCTGGCGGTACCACTTTTAGCATAGCTTAGCATACATCATTGAAGTGGACAAGACCATTAGCATTTCTCAAACAAAAATCACCAAAGTGTTTTGATATTTTTCCTATTTAAAACTTGACTCTTCTGTAGTTACATCGTGCACTAAGACCGACGGAAAATGTAAAGTTGCGATTTTTTTAGGCTGATGGCTAGGAACTATACTCTCAATCCTGCGTAATAATCAAGAAACTTTACTGCCGTACCATGAGTGCAGCAGGCGTAATGATATGACGCAGCGCCTGAAAATAGGCTACCTTCCGTCAATAGAGCTGGGGGCTATTTTCAGGCGCTGCGTCATATCATTACGCCTGCTGCACTCATGGTACGGCAGTAAAGTTTCTTGATTATTACGCAGGATTGAGAGTATAGTTCCTAGCCATCAGCCTAAAAAAATCGCAACTTTACAGGTAGTTTCATTGCACTGAAAGGATTTTGCGATTGAGAGAGAAGCATCTCGCTGCAGCCTGCGGTGGACATCCAACCTGGCCCACATCCAAGTGTGATGTCAGAAGCCACGCCCATGTCCAAATACAGAACATTCTCATTGGCCTGATTTTTCCCAAACCAGTTCAGCGGAAACTCCGCCCTGCAGCCGATTCTTAAGATTTTATAGGTCATGTCAATCACAGTACTGATTGCCTACACCAAACACTGATCCCTAAACTGACTATGTGACTTCTTTTGTGACGGACTCAATGATTATTACCATACTAAGCTTATCTGTTATGGTCCTCAAGGGTCCCTCATTGAATTTTATGGATTATGCCCTGCTTTTGTGTGGTTCCTCTTTCACGGTTGGTGAGGTTGAGGAGGACATGTCCCCTAAAAGTTTTTTGTGGAGGGGCACCACACACCAAGATCCAGTGCCCACGGAGCTTGGCCCACCACGGTCACCAGCATCTCCGGCCATAATGGTCGCTAGTCCTGTGGTTCCAGTACCTTCCCGTCCTGAGGTTTCTACACCAGAGATTCTTCTCGTCATGCATGCCGAGCCTGAGTCAGTTCTGGAAAAGACAGCACTCATCATAGTCGCCACGGCAATTTTGAGTGTGTGGGCAGTACTCACATTGGCTCCAGCCTGTGAATCCTTGGCCAAGATGGCCGCCGCCGTTCCAGAGTCCTCGGACAAGATGGCCACCTCCACTCCTGTCTTCGGACAAGATGGCCGCCGCCACGCCTGTGTCGTCGGATCCGCCCTGGCCCCCTGAATCGTCGGATCCGCCCCGCTGAAACGTCGCGCCTGCTCCGCCCTGGACGCCTGCTCAGCATGCTTCGCCCTGGACGCCTGCTCAGCCTGCTCCACCTCAGTCTCCAGGCCCTCTTCCGCTCCACGGGCCTGGCCCTCCATCCCGCCCCAGGGTCCGCCTCCGCTCCACCTCCCTCCTGGACAATTTTAGGAGCGTTTTTAGGAGCGTCTGAAAGCCGCTCCTTTGAGGGGGGGCTATGTAACGGTCACCAGTTGGAGTGCCCTTGAGAGCCACCAGAGGGCACTCCACATCAGACTATTGTCATTCCCTCATAAAGTACATTTCCCATAACTGTCTGCCTGGACTCATCATCCCTGATTCCATCCACCTGTGTCTCATTACCTTGTTTAACTCGCCCTATAATCTGGTTTTCACAATAGGCTTGTTTGAGATGAGCAACATCTGCGCAGAACCGATCACCGGTGATCACCGCGAGATGCATGCCGGTTAGAAATGTGTCCGAGTGCAGTCTGCCTTGCTCTGATGTCATGCTGACGTATGTCAAAAAACTCTCGCAACCGCAAGGCGCACGTGTCGGATTCTGCAGTCGCGCGCAGTTGCGGGTCCACCGACTGCGCTGATCAAAAGCACGATGGGAAACGACTTACTGACGACACAGCTTAATGCTGATTGTTTAAACAACCGTGATGTATTGTTCTCTTTTAAAATGTTTGATTTTAAAACTCTGATATCGTGTTTTATGTGTATACGTTATGTGTGAATATTCCAAAACTCTCTGACAGTGCAATCTCTATGGGTTATGCAATGTAATTTTTATTTAAAAAAAAACAATAAAAAAAAAACACATATGTCTGTATTAAAGAAAAAATGATTGATAAACACGTATTTGGAATGGAATAAAATAACAAGTACTTTGGGTGTCTTGTTCATTATATTTATTTTTATATAAAAGCAACATAACTTAAATTACATCCAGTTTATTAGCAACACCGCGCTCATTCAAGGGTGTGCATCTATTGCATGGACGGAGAGAAAGCACTGTCACTTGCAGGATTTCATCTGACGATACTTTTTATTTAACACTAAAAAGTTAAATAAGCATATCTGTTCCGTGAGAGCAACAGTACCGCAACAGTACCGGTCTCTATATCTATAGACGTTTTTTAATCTAAACTCCAAAAAGCAATGGAATTGTCAGACATCCATTAGTGCATGCGAGGAAAACAACTGGAAATACAGCGCTGGTTGTTCTCTCCATACTCGACAACGACGGAATCCAACGGCGTGGGCGAAGGTATAATGCGTGTATTTAATTGTATGAAATAATCCCGAAAAAAGCACAAACACGGCAGAGATGGCAAGTACAGCAGCTGCTGGAATTAGCTGAGGGTGACGCTAACAGACAGCAGACAAACGGCTAGCAGTGACAGCAGCAGCACTCCACCGACCTGTCACTCAAGTGGCCACGCCCTTAATTATGCAGAACTTTAAGGCTTAATATAATTTAAACGGATGAGTTGTAAAAAAATTCACCACCCTCACAGTCGTCATGAAGGGCAAAATTAGCTATATAGACCAAAACCACTTTTTGCCACCAGGCTGTAAACATATTTTTTTCTGCTGTAAAGTTGGGCATTTTAACATGCGGGAGATACAGATTTGACTCACTTTTGCTGCCACCCTCAAGGGGCCAGTCGATGAAACGCAGTTTAATTCACTTCCGTGTTGGTTTCAAGAGAGAGACAGGGAGGTTGCCGCTTGTATATGGTTTATGATCTTGGATTTTCCCATTTAAAAACTGCATTTGGATTCTCAACCTTCGTGTCTCGGAGCAGTTCGTTACACTAGCGCATAAATAAAGTCTACTTTGGTTTTTACGGCAGCTGGCAAACAAAACTCAAAACTAGCATGGCACTTCATTGTCTCGTGACACTTTTTAAACATTGTGTCAAGTTATAAGAATCGTTTAAAAATGCATCTGGAGTCCATGTGTTCTTTTTAATTCTGTTGCGCCTCTCATTTTCAAGCCCAAGCACACTTATTTTAACGCTCCTTCATCACTGCTAATTTTCATAACATGTAGTTCTTGTCACAAGGCATTTTTCATTTATGTTCCATACACTGAATGATCGACAACCAGGAACACACATGCATAATCTGTGAACAGACCCTCCCAGCCCAAACCCATTTCGTGCCCCACAAATTAATTATTTGCATTTATATTCATTTTAATTCTACCTGATTACATTTTTAATTGGAATTCTGCATCAAATTGAGGAATTTAAATTTAAACTTGTTCTCAAATAAATTTGCAGTCACTTGTTCCCCACTGAAGGAAAGAAATGCTAGACACACCAACAACTGTAGTTCATTACCCTGATGCAAAAGAGTAGAGTAACTTAATCAGTAATGAATAACAGTAAGGTCTTTTTACTTGTCATTTGATTATGACCTGGATTAATGAGCTGGGACTGTAGAGTACAACTGAATCTGATTATCTGCTGAAGGATATTTGTCGAGTTTCTCTTTCTGGGTCATGTTGTTGACTCTGCCCTGGAGGGTTCGAATGCCACTGACCCAGTGCTGGGCTTCCTCTTTTGTGTCACACTGGAGATCCAAGCTCTTCCTCCCTCCTTTGAACAAAATGGTGAGACACTGATCTTCTGGAAGCGAGGTTGCCAGGTTTCTCAATGTCTCAGACTTACAGCCCTCCCAAACGCACTCCACTTCCATGACAGAGACTGAGAGGAAAGGTGGTATTTTTAATTTGACATAACCGACGTAGTTTAACCAAACATTTAAAATAATACTGCTAATATTGACAGGGGCACAACAATAAGAAAACAAACAATGATTAAGCACACATCTTTGCTTTTCCTGTGTAGAGTCAATAGTCAGTAGACCAAATGCAAAAACATCTTATAAATTTAGAAAATGTTTTAAAAGTGTGCAGAGGGTAGACAGCAGTGGCCTAAAACAGAGTATTGACTTTTTGCTCCAAAAAAGTCTCCATATTTGTGTCCTGTCAACTGTTTAAATCACTTTTAATAGAAATTAATTTGAGAGACTAAACCTAAATGTTACACTCTCAGAAAAAAAAGGTACAAAAGCTGTCACTGGGGTACACCTTTGTACCTAAAGAGTGTACATTGGTACCTTAAGGTACTAGTACCTAGTGTACTGGTACCTAAAAGATACAAAAGTGTACATTTTGAAAAGGTACCACCCCAGTGACAGCTTGTGTACCTTTTTTCCGAGAGTGTATGCATAAAATTCATTTTCATACTAATTTATAAAGAGCACACCTTACACAGCCTGTGTTAAAGGAACACTCCGACTTTTTGGGACTTTAGCCTATTCACCTTATCCCCCAGAGTTAGATAAGTCCATACATACCTTTTTCATCTCCGTGCGTGCTATAAGTCTGTTTGACGCACCCACCGCTAGCCTAGCTTAGCACAAAGACTGGATGTAAATGGTTGCAGCTAGCATACTAATCCAAATAAGTCTTTGTGCTAAGCTAGGCTAGCGGTGGGTGCGTCAAACAGACTTATAGCACGCACGGAGATGAAAAAGGTATGTATGGACTTATCTAACTCTGGGGGATAAGGTGAATAGGCTAAAGTCCCAAAAAGTCGGAGTGTTCCTTTAACAGAGATTTTCAGATCTTTATTATTACTGGGTGCAGACAGAAAGATCTTGGTAAATCATCTCTTTTTATCTATACGTTGTGGTGCCAAAACAAATAATTAAAATTTGATTAAGAACCATTTTCTGAGAAGTAAATATGTGTATGTGGAATTATTTAAGCAAATGTTGTCTAGAAGAAACAATTGAAATAACCTTTTTTTTCCCCATTCCTACAGGCACACACACACACACACACCACAGCGTTAGTGGGTGCACACGTCTCAGCCACATCACACAAAACATGATCTTTCCAACTAAAACCAATTATAGACCATAATTCTAATTTAAGACATGTGCATAGTTGCCAGGGCAATGATAATAATTCATGTACTATATGGAGCAAACCATAAAGTGAAGGGCTGCACTCTTCCCACATAGTCACAGACTGTAATTAGAGTGTAGTGAAGCTTAGAAACCCCCCGTCTGAACTACAAATAGGCCAGCCCTGTAATGACTGTCAGTGCTGTGGCCAGTAGACCTGGATCCTGCCTGTTTGGGCAGCCATAATTAGGAGGTGTATTTACCGGGAGGGGCACATACATTTCCACAGCACAGAATACAGAACATCATTTATACACACTTGCTTCTTCATGAAAATCTTATTTTGAACATTTTCACACTATGAAAAAAATAATATTCTAATCCAATACATATAAACACTATATTCTGAGCATGACAACTCACAGGACTGCTGAGTTTTGGCTTTGTTGGTGGACTTGTTGGATTCACACCAGACGGTGACTCCATCGTTCAACAGCTTTAGCATTCGCTTCCTCTTCCAGCGTGGAGAACGCACCTTCATCATTGAGGAGCCCTGCAACATTGTCTTCACATCGTCATCATCCTGGACCCCTGCAGGAGTTCATTATAAGACTGATGATTGTGGCACACAAATAAGTCTTAGGTTCCTATGAAACAAAACTGTTCAAAACAAAACTGTGTGGAACATTAATAACACCTAATGTGAGTGAAGGCAAAAAGAATGTTTATTTTCTTGAATAGTATAGGTTATATTTCAAAAAGAAAAAGAAAAACTGCCGTTTGTTCTCTTTCTCTGGCTCGTTCACTGGTTATTGAAATTTCATTGCATTATTCACAATATTTAAGCTATTTATTCCGGACATTTTATAACATGACGAGTGGGTCTTTAACTTATCTTCATTTTAAATAAAAAGCTTTTATGTAGGCCAACTCTGTTTTGTTTTTTTCCACCGGCCAGTGATGGTTCTGAAAGAGAACGCGCAGGTTTGTTATAGCTATCTGCTAGTAACAAATATAAAATATAACAAAAATGGGTCCTTTGCCCAGCCTGGAAAACATTTCTACATCCTGCTGCCTCAGGAGAACCAAGGCCATCACAAGAGACCCTTCGCACCCTGCTCACCCCCTGTTTGATCTGTTGCCCTCGGGGAGACGCTACAGGTCAACCAAATCGCACACCAGCAGGCTGACAAACAGCTTTTTCCCCTGGGCCATACGAATGGCCAACACCCATGGACACTCACACACATAAGCCCCTACCTCCATATTCTCCTTTCACTACATTCAACTCTGAACAACAGACAATCAGCCCACCTTCTTAATTGCACTACTACAACTATAGTCACTTTTAACATTTTTAACCTCTTAGATTTTATATATATGTGTGTATGAGTAGGTGTGTAAATGCGTGTACGTATTGCATATATTATATTATTTTAATGAGAGAACATTGCTCGTTTAGCCCTTTTGTCTTTTGTCCAAATGTATTTTGTTTCGTGTTGCTGTTGTTGTTGTTTATTTTATTTTTGTTATGTCTGGTGCAAGGGGCGGCTCTGTGAGCACACAAAAATTTCGTTGTACCTCGACAGTGCAATGACAATAAAGGCTATTCTATTCTATAACTTTCACGGGCATCTGACTGGGAGATAAACTGCGACAGATATGAAGTAAAATGAAATGTATACAAATAGGCTATACATAAATTAAACATAAATAATAATAATAATAGCCTAATAATGTAATGACTTACCCAATTTTTTCAGGGGATCGTCTGGTTTAAGTTGGGACGTCCCGGCTCCATTCTTCTCCTTTCTCAACATGACGCAGTATAGGACCGTATAGTTAGAGGACCTTGCGTCTTAAGCTAGAGGGTTTATGGTGTGGATAAATACACGAATGGGTGTCTAGTTAGTGTTCAGTAATGATACAGCTCTAACTAAACAGTGTAGACACTGCCCCTGTCTGATGAGCTCATGTTAAAAAGCTGCTGTGCCGTAGCTATAAGACATTACATTTCATTGGCTCCGGACTCCGGTTGTTATTTTAGTCTAAGTCTACGATAGACAAATTCTAACCTAGCTGCTACATAAATATAAAGACAAAAACTGTTACCCCTTAAAAGCACATATTTAGGTGTCCGATAAAGATGCTATTGTCCAATCTATGCTCTAAAACGGTAACAAATGTAGGGTAAATTAACGTTATCTTAATGAATGACGATTTATAATCGCAGCAGCTCTTTCAAATGAGATTAGACACAACAATGGAAAAATACAGCGACTGTATCTTCAAACTAAAACGCAAAAATCAAACCCACCGAAAATATACAGCAAACGGGTTTGATGGCTGGACTACATGACTTTGAGAAGACGATCCTGAGGTCCGGATTAATAAAATGTCTCCCTCTAGCGATGTCACATTTAAAAACAACCAACTGAATCAATCAAAGCTGAATAGCTATTTCAAGCCTAAGGTACGAATCAAGTTTAACGTTTGTAGTGTTTTCTTCTTCTTCTTCTTCTTCTTCTTCTTCTTCTTCTTCTTCTTCTTTTACCACCTATTAAAGTGATGATTGGTGTGTACATTAGATCTTTTTATTTAAATCCAAACAATTTTATAGAAAATACGTTGTGCATGCTAAACCTAGTGAGAAACGCAATTGAAAGATGTTGAAATGTAAACACTTAAAAATAATTTTCTCACAATACATTTTTTTCTGTTTGCTATAAACATTCTTACATTTAGTTCAAATTAACATGTAATTAATTGTCAAACACATTCAATAAATATCTTGATTTCACACGTTAATTTTTAATCGGATTTTTGTCAAATACATTGTTTTCTATCTCTTTCTCTTTTTTCTTTTTCTTTTTTGCGAATTTAGCAAGGCTCCTGTAGCATGGTAAATCCGCGGACATCTCTTGCTGACATTGGCTCTCGTTTTGGGACAGAGACCAATCATCACTGTGAATACTCCATCACGTGATAGAACCAGGAAGTGAACTCCTGGTCGAAATTCCAAAAGTTGAACGATCCATTTATTAGAGAACAGTAGCATACAATCCTCGAACTGATTGTGCAAGGAAAGCGTGTACCGCTTTTATAAACTCTGTTTCCAACGTGACCGGTGGTTAATATTGTTTTATTACAGTTATATGTTCGGGTGTTATGGCAGCAGGAGCACAGGGCAGGTGAGTTGAACCTAGCTAACTCAGCTTGACCTCCTGGCTAATAACCTTAAATCATAAAGGGCAGAAAATCTAAGTAATCTGGACGACTAAAAATAATTATATTAGTTAAATTAGGGGCTTTTAATTTCATAACCTTTCTAAAGTGTCGTCCAAGTAATCCGAGAGCACAATTTATTCCGAAACTTGATATCTGATCATTGTTAAGAATGGCAGAATGACACATTTGTCACCAATATAATTTACAGGTTGTCCAGTTAATGCGCATGCGGCAGCAGAAGTGTGGGAAAGATAGAGACCGCATGATATGCCAGCTCTTGCAATGTCCGAGACCGAGGACTGTCAAAGGCGCTTTCAGGCGGCTGTCGACGTCATTCAAACCCTGCCCAAAAATGGTAGCTTTGCTCACCATTGACAAAAATTACATGAATGTACATAACAGTGATGATGTCATTCAACATGACATCATCATATTGTAGAAGATGTAAAACTCGCACTGCTTGTAATTGCAAACATTTCTGTAAGTTATAAAGATGAGTCCACATCACACTGATTCACATAATTTGTAGCAGGACGTGACACCTGTGGTGAATTTAAATTGCACTTGTACAGGTTCCTACAGACCCTCTTATGAAGTGATGCTGCGGTTTTATGGCCTGTACAAACAGGCGGTCAGTGGCCCATGTACAGCGCCACGCCCTGGATTCTGGGACCCTATAGGCCGTTACAAATGGTAAAGTTTTAACCAATTTTGAACATCAAGTTCCATAATGTGCCTAACTAAAGTACATGTGATGAGAGCCATTTAAAGGACTGTTTAAAAACTTTAACGTAATGTTTTCCTGGTCTTGTGTCAGGGATGCTTGGAATCAGCTGAGAGACATGAGTCGAGAGAGTGCCATGGCTGCTTATGTGGATGAAATGAAGAAAGTTGCACAAGAGGTGTGAGAACTTCATTGAAACCTCATAAATCCATAAAGCAACTTTAGGGAAAAGAAAGTATTGGAAAATGTTCTCTAAATCATGTCGCTGTAGATAACAAGCAAATTTGTGTTCAGAGCGGCCAAGCAAACAATTTGTTTCCATATAAAATTTTTTTTTTTTATATCACTAACAGGTAATAAACACCATGCAAATCAATGAGAAGACTGCATCCTTTTTCCACTATTTTGAACCTCTCTACCATGTCATTCATGATATGCCTAGACCTCCAGAGGCAGTTTTATCTCTCAGATCAGGTGTGAAACTGTGAATTATTATTATTATCGTTTTTGTAAAATACTATGAGTTCTGTGTGATAAACCTATGATTTCGGTGTTCATTTCAAAAGATGTAAATACCAAGGAAACAATTGATGGTTTGGCTGAACATGATGTGGAGAAGGCAACTCAAGAGCCGGCTCTTCAACAGGAGGACACAGAGACAGTCCTTGACAATGAACTTCAACCTGAGAGCACAGGTAGTGGGATGGTTATCTATAAATGTTGGATGTCTATCCAGAAAATTTTGGAGTCCACCAAAACAATCTTTTTCACAATGGAAAAACTTGGGTTTTAGGCTTGTACAAACAAATATTTGCAATTTTACTTTTTACTTTTTTACTCCAATACGATTTTGGAGCCAACTATGGCTGAAATGCACCAGTCTTGATCACTATCCAGACATGTCTGACCACAGTTGCTTTTCAAACATTGACAGTTGGATATGTAATAAATGATGCTAAGATTGTGTGTGTGCTGTATTTCTTCTCTTTCATCGCTGTATGTGTAGAGCCACTTCTGTCTCGGGGTCAGGGGCCGACTAGTGACTCAGAGAGTGAAGTCTTTTGTGACTCATTGGAACAGCTGGACACTATAAGGGTCTGAAATTTGATTAAATTGAATTAAAATGTATGTGATGTATGCTTGTCCTACGTTTTGTACACTTTTTATGCCATTACAGCTTGCTGCAATGCCAGGTGGTAATTCCAGTTTCCAGAATGGGGATGCACAGACTGAGACCTCTGGAATCCAGGAGCATCATTACAGCCCCCTCTCTCAGGTGACTCAGATGGGTGCTGGACATGGTGGTGAGGGGGCAGAAGATAGGCATGGTCGTCCCATGAGGAGGAGGACCACAGAAAGACAGGAAATGCAGCAGGACAGGAGGGATCCTTCTGGTGAGCTTAATCTGGATTTTTAATTCCACATTATAAACCACAACCCCAGTCGTCTCTGGGTTCCTCAGGTCACTAATATTTCGGTTAAATTTGATAAAATTGTGTTTAAAATATCCAAACACCAGATCCCCACACTAACACTACTGTTCAAAAGTTTGGTCAGTAAGATTTGTAAAAGAAAAAAATTAAATGCACCAAGGCTCCATTTATTTGATTAAAATACAGTAAAACAGTAATGCTGTGAAATATTATTACAATTGAAAATGTTTAAATGTAATTTATTCCTGTTTACAAAGCTGTATTTTCAGAAGCCTTAAAGGAGAACTCCGGCGCAAAATGAACCTTTGGTCTAATTACACATTGTTACCTAGTCAACCGTTATCTGAGATTTGTTTTCATGATTATCGAATGTAAATAGTTTTATCTCTAAAAACAGTTTAGCCTATAAAGCTAGTATAACGCTAGTATATTGGGCATCGAGTAATGACAAATAAAAATCGCTTGTTAATACCACTAACAAGGCTCAAAATAGCCCCACACTAGCACGGTAGCATAATGAGGGTCCCTACCTTCAAACCGAAGCATTGAGAACTTTGTCAGTGTCCAGACAGTTTAATAAGAAGATATTTAATACATACAGTCAACTTCGCGTATACAGACAGAAGCCATCTTTGAAAAAGAGTCTCTACCAGTCGATCTACGAACGCCGATCCAAGCCTGCTGTTCGCGCTCACCTTATCACAACTTATAGCTCGTTCACATCTCACCAGCGCACTTGGATCGGCGTTCGTAGATCGACTGGTAGAGACTCTTTTTCAAAGATGGCTTCTGCCTGTATACGCGAAGTTGACTGTATGTTTAAAATATCTTCTTATTAAACTGTCTGGACACTGACAAAGTTCTCAATGCTTCGGTTTGAAGGTAGGGACCCTCATTATGCTACCGTGTTAGTGTGGGGCTATTTTGAGCCTTGTTAGTGGTATTAACAAGCGATTTTTATTTGTCATTGATCTATGCCCAATATACTAGCGTTATACTAGCTTTATAGGCTAAACTGTTTTTAGAGATAAAACTATTTACATTCGATAATCATGAAAACAAATCTCAGATAACGGTTGACTAGGTAACAATGTGTAATTAGACCAAAGGTTCATTTTGCGCCGGAGTTCTCCTTTAACTCCAGTCTTCAGTGTTACATGATCCTTCAGAAATCATTATAATATGCTGATTTAGTGCTCAAGAAATAAAATTGTCTTCAGGTCTGAAGCAGAATTCACTCAAATTATCTTTACCACATTAACTCCAAGTGCAGATGAAAGTTTGGATGTTGTCCCCAATATTGAAAGCATGTTGAAGACAAAAAAACAAAACAAAAAAAACATTATGTATGTATGCATATGTTTTTGTTCCAGGTTATATGTCTCACCGCAATGCCAGATGGCCGGAGCGGCTCTCCTCAGGGGCTGGTTCAGGGCAAGGGGGCAGAGACGATTCTAAAGGTGGGCCTAACGGGCTACAGGACGGCCAGGCGCAGCAGCAGATCATTCTTGCCTTACAGCAACTCAGAGAGGCCATGCAGAGTGTCATGGAGCGACTAGAGGTAGTTGAAGGTCTTGCAACTGCAAATGTAAGAAAGCTGAATAAAATAAGAACCAAAAAAGTGCATGCTATTTGTCAAAATTGAGCTGTATAAAGAATAGAGACAGGATGCTGCATGATTTAATTTAGTTAATATGAATTTGAATATACATTTTTTTGTATAGAATTTAAAAATATAAAAAATATTTTATATAATATAAAAATGTTGATCACCAGAAGTATTAATCATAACTGCTGTCATATACACTCACCGGCCACTTTATTAGGTACCCCATGCTAGTAACAGGTTGGACCCCCTTTTGCCTTCAGAACTGCCTCAATTCTTCGTGGCATAGATTCAACAAGGTGCTGGAAGCATTCCTCAGGGAGTTTGGTCCATATTGACATGATGGCATCACACAGTTGCCGCAGATTTGTCGGCTGCACATCCATGATGCGAATCTCCCGTTCCACCACATTCCAAAGATGCTCTATTGGGTTGAGATCTGGTGACTGTGGAGGCCATTTTAGTACAGTGAACTCATTGTCATGTTCAAGAAACCAATTTGAAATGATTAGAGCTTTGTGACATGGTGGAAGTAGCCATCAGAGGATGAGTACATGGTGGCCATAAAGGGATGGACATGGTCAGAAACAATGCTCAGGTAGGCCGTGGCATTTAAACGATGCCCAATTGGCACTAAGGGGCCTAAAGTGTGCCAGGAAAACATCCCCCACACCATTACACCACCACCACCAGCCTGCACAGTGGTAACAAGGCATGATGGTTCCATGTTCTCATTCTGTTTACGCCAAATTCTGACTCTAACATCTGAATGTCTCAACAGAAATCGAGACTCATCAGACCAGGCAACATTTTTCCAGTCTTCAACTGTTCAATTTTGGTGAGCTCTTGCAAATTGTAGCCTCTTTTTCCTATTTGTAGTGGAGATGAGTGGTACCCGGTGGAGTCTTCTGCTGTTGTAGCCCATCCGCCTCAAGGTTGTGCGTGTTGTGGCTTCACAAATGCTTTGCTGCATACCTCGGTTGTAACGAGTGGTTATTTCAGTCACTGTTGCCCTTCTATCAGCTCGAACCAGTCTGGCCATTCTCCTCTGACCTCTGGCATCAACAAGGCATTTCCGCCCACAGAACTGCCGCTCACTGGATGTTTTTTCTTTTTCGGACCATTCTCTGTAAACCCTAGAGATGGTTGTGTGTGAAAATCCCAGTAGATTAGCAGTTTCTGAAATACTCAGACCAGCCCTTCTGGCACCAACAATCATGCCACGTTCAAAGTCACTCAAATCACCTTTCTTCCCCCATACTGATGCTTGGTTTGAACTGCAGGAGATTGTCTTGACCATGTCTACATGCCTAAATGCACTGAGTTGCCGCCATGTGATTGGCTGCTTAGAAATTAAGTGTTAACGAGCAGTTGGACAGGTGTACCTAATAAAGTGGCCGGTGAGTGTATGTTGTGCTACTTTAAATGGCATGATACATTTTTTAATTTGTTCTGAAAAGTATTTTCTACATTAATCTTTTAGTTTTTTAGCTTTTTTTTTTTTGATGAGTGAATAAAAATTAACTCCATGATTTGACATGTATCTTTGTTTTTATTTTATCTGCATCTGTATATTTATTTTAAGGCTCAAAATTCACAATGGAGATCCCATTTACAATGCACAGCTGCAGAGGCTGAGGTAAAACTTTCTGACAGACTTGTTGAGCATCAGTTTCAAGAAGGAATTGCTGCTTGTCACTGCTTCTCTATCATACACTATTTATTTTGATCAAATACACGTGGAAAAGAAAATTCTTTAATATTTTACTTTCTGTTTTGCTGACAGGAGAAATGGTGGCCATTTGACTTCTCTGGACGCACATTGCTGCTGTTGTTGGTGTGGCCTTTTGTGACTAAGGGCTTAATGTTTTTGTTGAGACGGAAGAAGAGAAAGATTCATGCGTGCATATAAATTTACTGTACTGAGTAGAAATTAAAGTAACAGTCAAGCTAAAGAATGATCATAATTGTGACCTGGTGTTCAATGATTCAATTATAACTTGTTTGTTAGCGTCAGGTGAAGGCAAGAAATGTTCTAACCTCATATCTCTGAAATGTGATCATTTAATCTTGTATGAACAAGATGAGTGCAGTTCTGGAGTCCAGGAGCTGATTGTGTTAATCAAATGTTCATTAAGTGTTCTATGTAATGCTGGTTAAATGTAGCTGTGTGCAGAGACTTTGTCAATAATGTATGATATCCGTTCTCTGGTATTTTGAAAATAAGTCATGTTAATTAGCATGTCGTTGTTAATGGTTGAAAATGTAAATGCCTTCTGCACCACAAAGGAGTATAGACCTGCTGATCATACTTGCAGAATGCAGACATTGGCCTTTGCGTGGGGAACATAACATGCACAGATTCAGAAGCCGTCACTCTGATGATAAAAGGACCAGCAATACAATATCTTCTGACCATAAACCAGATTTATATGTGTTTTACAATGAGAGGATACAAATAAATGCAAAAAACAGTTGCATTGTGTATAATATAATGATAGTCCATTTTTTCATTTCAATTAAACATAAATTTCGACAGAACCTATATTTGCTGGGTTGTTATCTTTTGTGTAGCTGCAACTCAGTTGAGTTTTAATGTGTAGGCTACTAGATGCATTTAGTAATATCTAGGTGAGTAGATTCAAAATAAATTAAGTTCTTCATGAACTAACATCGTTTTATGTTAGATGCAGTCATCTAGGTCAAATTCACTTACAGCCCCATTGTCTCTGTGCAATTAAAGCAAATATCGGGATTCTTCCATTCGTTCTGTGGTTTGCGTTCTTAAAACAAATGCCTTCGGTGTAAAATATGACGGCCATTTCTTAGCACTACCGGTGTTTGTTGTTGTGCTTTTACTCTCTTTTGACTGAAACGGTTTTTTTAACGTAAAAATGATATCGAAATGTTTTGATTTGTTTTGTTTTTACATAAGCCTGACAGCATGCTAACTTCCCTAGCACGAATTAATTTGTGAGCAAGCGAGCCAACAATGGGGTTTCATTTGTTAAACCTACGCATTTCCATATGTTAAGAGACAATGCAGTGGTGTCTTCTAAAACTACTTAGGTAATAGCGCTAAGTTGTACATCTAATCAGCTCTTTAATATACTAGTAAGCTTTGCCAGCTAGCTTGTAGCTAAATCCATGTTATTATTTCTGGCAGAGGCAGGGAATTCCAAGTATTTAAGTATCTATATATGAAATGCATGTCAAATGATTTTGTTTCGAACTACGTTAAGTCGACAGGTTTTAGTCTTTACTTATTTTGTTTTTACCAATTTGCTTGTGCTAACTTATTCATGTTAATCTAGACTCCATTACCCAGCTAGCTGGCTATCGAACAGATTGCTAAACAATCGCTTCATAGTTAGAGATCAATACACGTAACAACGCCAGGACGTTTTATATTTTGTGTTGTGATGTGACATTTCACTTGAACAAGGGAAAATTAACTTTAGTCATTATAAATTGCAAGTTCTTCATTACCATGGACACAGTCGTCGTTACTCTTCACATTAAATTGTGAGTATGCTGTTAAAAGAACTACTTTATGCGTGAGGGGTGATCAATCCTCATAAGGGTGCAGGGTGTGGGTTTAATTGTCAAGGTAGAGATGCAAAATAAACAAACGCGATGGAATACACTATCATTGTGTGCTTTATACATACAAAATGGCATCAACACACTTTGTAGTATAATGTCTTTGTAAATCGGTGAAAGTTTAATGTGTGTTAGAATGAGGCGGATGTTTCTACCCGCTTCGGGCACGCTTGGTAGAGTCCACTAGAGTGGCCGGGACAGCTTTCTTTTTGATTGACAACAAATTCCACCAATCAGAATGCTTCTATGGTTCAGCGAGTGCACAAAAAACTTTTTATCCAATGAAAATTGCGAGTGGGCGTAACCTGCTCAGGACCGAAAACAGTTGTTGAATTGTGGGTAATGAAGTTTTTGGGGCAGAGATAATGTATGTGTCAATGCCTAGCGGGACTTCAAGTCCCACAAAGCAGGAAAAAAACTGGAGGACTGGCCGCATGCGCTTTTACGTGAGGGAGGTAATAAATTCACAAGCCCCACAGTTCCCCGTAGCAGAAGCGAATTGGAGTTTGCATTGGAGGGAAATGTTCTCGTACCCATCGAGAAACCAAGTCAATAGTAGAGGCAGAGGGAACGAAAAGAGTTAACATTAACAGTCTTAGGTAGCATAATAACTCAAATACGAGATTTGAGTTGAACGGTAAGGTAGCTCAAATTTTACTTATGCGAGTTTGTTAATGCTGTTTATTATGTATGTTAAAAATCGTTCACTTTTTGAGTAAACATTCCCTTTTGCCCCCAGTGTTTTGGTGGGTTGTTTTCAATGGCAGTGTTTAAGAAGTTGATTTCAATTCCATTTCTCAGTTTAATAAAGGAGGGTTTCCCTCATCTCACTGATCACAAACTTGTATCTCCTTCAGGTGGGAGTGTACAGTTATGGAGCTTATTAAAGAAGAAACTGTACCGGAGGATGACAGCAGAGGGCGGCAGAGAGATGGTTTGACAAGTGTCGTCCCCCCGAAACAAGTGCAAAGAAATCAACTGGAGATCTGTCCGGGTCTGGTGTCTGGAGATGTACATCCTATTTGCCGCGGCCGGGATAGGAGCGATCCGGAGCCCAAGGCTGGCGACGCAGCAAGTGACGACGGGTTTCCTGTGAACAAAACAAGTAATAAGAGAGACTCTGATTGCACGAGTCTAAACACAGAGGGGCTGTCAGATGGCCGCCAGGGCAAGAAGAAACACAGACGGCGACCCTCCAAAAAAAAGCGCCGCTGGAAGCCTTACTTCAAATTAACCTGGGAGGAAAAGAAAGAGTTGGATGAACGCGAGACTGCGCGGGCGTCGCGGGTGCGTGCCGAAATGTTCGCCAAAGGTCTCCCCGTCGCCCCATACAACACCACCCAGTTCCTGATGGAGGAACACGACCGAGAAGAACCTGACCTCAACACGGAGCTGGTCGGCCGAAAAACCGGGGTGATCCGCTCCGATGACACGGCCAGTGAGGATGAGAATTTCGAGGCCGAAGAGGAAGACGAGGAGGAAGGGGCCGGCGGCGGCGAAGGGAGCGACGGAATGGGCAGACCCGGGCACGCAGGCGGGGAGTTTTTGCAGAGAGACTTCTCTGAGACCTATGAGAGGTACCACGTCGAGACTCTCCAAAATATGTCCAAACAAGAACTGGTTAGGGAATACCTGGAGCTGGAGAAGTGCATGTCGCGGTTAGAGGAGGAGAACAACTGGCTTCGCCACGTCCGGAGAAATCCCGAGTCCCCAGCTGACGGCACTGGCGCTCAGCGCGTGCGGGAGCTGGAGATTGAGGTGGAGAGACTGAGAGCCGAGAACGAGTTATTACTCAAAACCCCCAAAAGTAAAGGGCCAGGACTCAACCTGTCTCAGTCGAGCTGAATCGATGTTTCATTTCCGTTTTACAAGTCAAATCGTTTCATTGTATTGGTGTAAACAACATCTCTATGGTAGCTAATACCCTCTCAGCCTATGCCATCTGAAAGTAATGTTTTTCTGACACAAAATTGTATTAAAATCTTTCGTGCGGACCCACATATTTGGTCAGTAATGTATGTTAGTCGTTTGTACGATTAAATTGACTTAAAGAATAGCTTGCAATGATTTTCATGTTATGTAAAAGATGTTAAAAAAAAAGAAAAGGAAAAAAAAGGCCAGAAACCGACTACTCTTATTTTTTTTTGCCATGACGTCACAATCACATCTCGGCTAATTTCGGGTGTTTTGTTAGTTTACCATAATTATTGGATGTTTGAAAGCGCAACATCCAATTCAGAAACAGCGTAAACATGCAGCGTTTCAGATTCATATTTAATCTCGCATATGATTCAGAGTGTTAATGCATGACAAGACAGTATGTTGTAAACAGTGGAAAACCGTTAATGGTGTTTTGCCCAAATATATTGTCGATTAAATTATTTCACGTTTTAGTTCTAATTTTATTTCTTTGTTTCTGTTATATTTTCTGTCAGTCTTTAGATTATAAAAATTCATATACATTTCTGAGAATTCCCTTCACTCCCCTTTATGTGGACAAACCAATAATAATGTTGTTGAAAAAGGATACTCTATATATATATATATATATATATATATATGTATGTATATATATATATTTAAATTTCAACAAGCAACCAAAAAAAAAAAAACATTGCCAAAGAGCATGAAAAAGCAGATTTCTTTTTTAGGAGATAAAAAAAGAGGGACAAAATATTTGCTTGAAAAGGAAATTAGTTTGTTCATATTTTCTTAATCTTTCAGCTGAATCTCATGGTCAAATGCAGTTGGGTCCCAATGACTTAGATCCCTTTTTCTAGAACATTTACTCGTTTAGCTCTAAAATATTTCATTGGTTTTGTGACATTTTTTATTTATTTTTAACTAAAATTCAGTAATCATTAACTGCAGAGTCATGGAAATTCTTTGGTCAGAAGATGTGATCTGGTATTTTCTCAAATATCTTTTGTGAAATTTTCACAGAACCTACCCGCGTTTAGAAACAAATTCTGTACAATACATTTCAAATGTTTAGGGTCGGTAAGATTCAATGTTTTTGAAATAAGTCTCTTATGCTGGCTTCAATTGTTTGAAGAAAAATACAGCAAAAACCATATATAAAATGTAAATTGGTTATTTAAATTGTAGTAATGTTTTAAAATGTAATTTATTTCTGCAATGGCAAAGCTGAATTTTCTGCAGTCACATGATCCTTAAGAAATCATTCTAACATGCTGATTTGCTGCTCAAGAAACATTTCTTAGTATCTGTGTTGAAAACGGTTGTGCTGCTTATTTTTGGGAAAACCTAAAAAAATGTAGGATTCTTTGATAAATAGAAAGTTAAAAAGAACAGCATTTATTTGAAATACAAACCTTTTAGAACATTCTAAATTAAATGCCCTTGTCTCTTTTGATTAATATTATGCTTCCTTGCTGAATAAAAGCATTAATTTTTTTCCACAAAAAAAAAAAAAAAACCTACTGACCCCAAACTTTTGAACGGTATGTTTTACCTTTTTTTAAACTCATTAATGTACAACATGTACCCCACAGAGAAACAAGATATTCTTTATATAACAGCACAGAGGCAAACCAGTATACTGACTTGCACAATAGGAAACAATTAAAAACAAATAATATTATATTTATCATTTGTACACAGGTTAACTTGGTACATTTGTTGCAAACGTTGGTCCACACATTCACCCATATACTTGTATGTACATGCACAGGGAAGTAAAAACAAACATGATGTTCACAGTATACATTAACTCAGGATTAGATCTTATGGGGATATTAAGTTGACACACTTCCTGGTCACAAAAGATTAACTGCACAGGTGTAATAAAGCCATCATGGAGCAAAACATACCAAAAATAGGAAGTAGAGAAAAGAGTACAGTGAGTTGGTTATTCAAGGATAATCGCTAATATATCTTGTTTTGACATCAATCTGCAGTTCTGTCAATGCAGCTTTTATTGCATTGGAAAACTGTTAAAGGGCAGGTATTGGTTTTTGCGAGGGGGAGAACAATTTCACACGGCAATCTGTTTTGAGGAACTAGTTTGTAGGCAGTTTAATATCTTTATTATGGATATGTACTACAGATGTCTTATTACACTGCTCTCTGGAATACTTGCACTATTGACCTATCATAATCAAGTGCAAGAGTGCCATTCTAAACACAATAAGCCAAAAATGATTTACCCCCCTTCCACACTTATGAAGCACTGTGAATGATGTTATTAAGTCATTCTCCCTTTGCTCTCAAACTACTTAAATATTTGTGTATATATATATATATATATATATATATATATATATATATATATATATATATATATATATATATATATTGTATGCACATATTGCAATAAACTTAAAATATATTGTTTTAAGCAGTTTTTTTTTTTCATTTTGCTTAACTGTTTAACAAAGACCTTTTAAAAATCCCTAATGGAAAAATGAATGCAAACCAAGGCTGCTGAAAAAGTGGGTGGGCACTGTTGCATTCTATATTCACTGGCGTCTGTAGCAATGTATGAAGCACAGCTCACAAAGAAGTCAAGCAGCCGAGTAGCTTTCTGTTGATCAACACTGCAAATTCGCGTGTCCAACTTAAACCTGATGCAAACGCTGTGTGGGGAAATCTTACACCCTCAAGCAAAATTCATTATCAAGCTGATTCCTATTGAAATGCCTCGATTGTGACTTTGCCTGGCTAATTGTTTTGTACATTTTATTGGACTATTATTCTTTGTGAAAGCTTTAAGATAATATTAATGTAAGATTATAAAATAAGTTAAACTTGAATAAATATTTTTGTATTTGATGAGTAGCCGTGTAGCGGGCTAATATACAGTCAGATGGTCATTGCCACAAAACTTATTTTGTGACTGACAGCCTGAATGTAAATTATCCGCTACATATTTATGCTATGTATTCTTAAAGTGGAAGCACTGAATGGCATTTTCAAACTCAGACACTCAAAGTACTTTACTGCACCTGTTTATAGGTGCCACATTGTGCTTAATAATGCTCTTGTCTTATAACCATATGACATAAAACCACTCTCATGATATCAACGAGTGACAAAAGCATTATTAAGCACAATGTGGCACCTACAAACAGGTGCAGTAAAGTACTTTGAGTGTCATTGTGGCTTTAGCTGCCAGGCTGTGCAGGAGGGGGTGAGGGGACAAAAAAGCATTAAAGTTGAGAAGGGCTGAAGTTTGCAAGGGGTTGTTTATGTTTCATGTTTTATAATGTCTTATTGCTTGGTCATTCCTCCCAGGGCATATTAACCAGAACTGTGTGGCGCCTCCAGTCTCGTCTCCAGCGGCGTGTCTCCACTGAGCCCGCTTGCTGCTTGCTCCCTGCTCCCCAAAGGCAATCGGCTGTTCGGTTGACCTGCTCTTGACACATCCAGACCTGCTGAAGAGACGGCTCCCTGCTGCTCCAACCGGGCAACACAGCCTGACGCAGCTTCTCTTGACCTCTAACGAGAGATGCTTTGACTCTTGAGAAGTCCAGATGTGTGTGAGAGGCCCGTTCCTCTCCAGTCTGGCTCCGCTCTACATATAGCGAGTGAGGTCGCACTCTTTCTTCTCTCAGTTTCCTCCGTGTGAGACTGCGAGTGATATTCAAGTGCTGTGGTGGATTGGAGCAGATGGAGGCAGAGGACTTGGTCAGCTTTAATGAGGCTCCGAGCCTCGACACACTGTGGTGGTGTGAATAAAGGAAACTCGGAGAGCGAAACCGACCCGTTTGTTCTCTCTCAGAAACCTCCACTTTTATCTCATCCTGTTCCTTCTGCAAAATGATGTCCTCCTCCTTCTCTGTCACCCTTTCTTCTTCTTGGCCCTCCACCACCTGTTTTGGTTTTCCCTCCATCTCGCTGATTTCCTCAGTCTCCTCTTCTGATTTTCTACTTTGTCTTGCTTCACTGTCCCCTTGAACCTCGCTGTTGCCTCTCATTTCCTCATAGTTGCTGGCTTTGATTGGTTCATGTTCAGAGTCTTCATCAGTGCTGCTGCCTTCGGGGAAGGTGCTTGGGTGTTTCTTTCTCTTTCGGGTCACGGCTGATATGATGGACAGGGGGAGGAAGTCTTTGGCACTTAGGTCTTTCTTGGAGGTGGAAGTTCCCTGTGATGAAAGTTGCATTTTAATGCAGAGCTCAAAAAAATGTTGCAACATTTCTTCTGATGAAGCTAAAGTCTTCTAATGAAAATGCAAAGCTTGCGCTCAGTAAAAAAAAAAGAAAAAAAAAAGTGTTATCAGAAGTTTATCCAGGAGGCATGCAAATCTGGAATTCAAAATCTTTTAAATAAATCTGGAAATAAAGTTTTAGGATTTAATTATTATTTTTTTTAAATAAACAAGGTCATGATGTAAAATTAATTTTGAAATGTAAATTTGTGGCATTGATCATGTGACTCTTTGTACATATGTTCTTCAACTGAAGCCCAATTTGCTCTTTGGATAATTTTGAAATCATGCTGGATTCCACGATCATCCGGTTTGACACAAACTTGTGGAGCTCATGCATCTCAAGTGTTGCTGTCATTAAAGCAAAAGGGTTTCCGAAATACTAAATACTAAGACATTCCTGTTCATTTTTATGTTAGACTTTTTACTCATTGTTGTGCTGATAGAATTTATAATATAATATTTTTCCATTATATATTATACTATTAGAAATAAGAAGTTGTTTTCACTAACAATCTTAGACTTGGGCACTAGTGTATGTGGAATATTCCACACATAAACCACCAAAATAAAAAATTAAATTAAAAAGGGGTATTTGCGTTAAACAACATGCAATGAAAAATAGCTATGCCACTGTTTAATACAAAACAATATATAATTAAAAATAGAAAATTACATATAATAAAAGAACTGCAAAATACCCACTAAGAAATATTTATGGCTGGTCAATTTTCTCAATTCGCAAAAGTTAATTTTAGACCCTGATCTCTTACCTTGGATTTAGCTGAGTCACTAGTGGTGAAATCTGTATAGGGGAGGAAAAGTAACAATACAGTCAGGGAGCTCATTGTTAGACACTGAGCTTTATCTGAGAATTTAAAGCAAGATAAATGGAGACATTTGGGAGTGTAATCTGTGCTGTCTTTAAAGCTGAAGTGTGTATTCCCTACAGAGCATTTTACAGCCCACCTATTTACAACCTACTTGCCAGCAGCCATATCACCCTGTAGCCCAAGACTGGTTGCCCACTGAAGCTAAGCAGGGCTGAGCCTGGTTAGTACCTGGATGGGAGACCTCCTGAGAAAACCAGGTTGCTGTTGGAAGAGGTGTTAGTGAGGCCAGCAGGGGGTGCTCACCCTGTGGTCTGTGTGGGTCCTAATGCCCCAGTATAGTGACGGGAACACTATACTGTCAAAGAGCACCGTCCTTCGGATGAGACGTTAAACCGAGGCCCTGACTCTCTGTGGTCATTAAAAATCCCATGGCACTTCTCGTAAAGAGTAGGGGTGTAACCCCGGTGCCCTGGCCACATTCCACCCATTGGCCCCTGCCAATCATGGCCTCCTAATAATCCCCATCCACTGAATTGGCTCTATCACTCTCTCTCCTCTCCAACTATAGCTGGTGTGTTGTGAGCGCATTGGCGCCGTTGTACTGTGGCTGCCGTCGCATCATTCAAGTGGATGCTGCACACTGGTGCTGGTTGAGGAGAGAATCCCTGATATGAGTGTAAAGCGCTTTGGGTGTATAGTAGTACATATGAAAGCGCTATATAAATGCCTCATTCATTCATTCATTTCTGCACTGCTAGTGTCACCAAAGGAATTTAAGATAATGTCAAACAAGTGTCCCCCTAATTGATTAGGATAGATAGTCCCACCTGAAACGTAGACTTTTGCTCTGTTGGTTGTAGTATAAAGGCAATATTGGCTCAACCAATAGCCCTACAGAGCATTTTACAGCCCACCTATTTACAGCCTACTTGTATTTGTCTTGCCTTTGTCTGTTTTTCATCTTAAACAGAGATGAGAACATGTTTTAACATTAAAAATTACACACTTCACCTTTAAGAGCTAAAACACTTCTGAAAGAATAGATGCTGTTTCTTGGTTTAAGATTACAAAATTTAATATCAGAATATGAAAACATGTTGTCATAAGCTGCAGCAGATGGTAAAATAACTATTAAAAAACTATTCCTGCGCCTACCGCAAACTTTGATCCATTGGCTCAGCTAGTAGAATGATGCAGAAAAAATCCAGAGAGAGAAAGATGAAAAGAAGAAGAGGATATGAATGTAAAGAGACAGAGAGCAGGTGTAGTAAGAGTTTGTTTGTTTTTTTTAAAGGGAAGTGTAAATAGAGATTACAGTGAAAACCATCTCCCAGTGAGAAAAAGAATACCAAATGAGAAGGATGATTTCATGAAGCTTGTTAAAACAAGCTCTTCACATCTCAACTTGTTTCTTTACAGGTTAACATAAACCTGTAAAGGCCCAACCATGGACTGGAGTTGAAAATTAGCAATAGCTATAAACTATTTTTGCATAGCATCAGTTACAGACTTGTTTTGTACTATGTTTAATTGCAATGTCCATGTCAAATAAATGAATAATAAATTAAAAAAATACACCTGTGCGAACAAGCTCATTTCATGTCAGTATCTCTCACCCGAGGAGTCTCTGAGCAGCACCGTCCTGCCAATGTTAGACAGGAGGTGGTCGATATTTGGAACAGGCTGTATGTTCTGCTGGTCCTCTGGTGTCTGCAGAAAAAAACATAAACAGATGGATGTTGGCTGATATTTGAGTTTTGAAGTGCCCTGTCCACTTTAATCAGCTAATATAGAATGATTGACCACTGAACTGTATTAAAGTAACTATTTTTTGTTTGCGCTGAAAGCATCAACCCATTAAATTGATGATGAGACAGACCGAAGACTGTCATAAATTCTGCTTGGGGGAAATCTCAAGTGTGAAATCCCTTATCAAACTTAATAAATATTTAAAATGATTAAAAAAGACAGTTTGTACCTTCTCATCCTTTTCCTGCTGATCACTGAAGAACCACATATGCTGCAACAAAGAAAGAGTACTTAAGCCCAATCCCATTTCTACCCCTTTCCCCTATCCCTCTGTTTTGCGCATTCACGTGAAGGGGTAGGGGTGTCTCGATTCTCTTTTGGTTGGAGGGGTAGGGGTAGGAGGAAGGGCCAGATAGCAGGTTTATTCTGCGATAACAACCAGTTGGATGTACATTATCCCTTACATATAGAATATACTGACTGCTCTTTTCCATATAATGAAACTGAATGGGGAATGGGTCTGTCAAGAACTAAAAAGAACATAAAAGTGGTCCATATGACTCATACTCTATGTTTCAAGACTTATGTCATAGTATAGCTTTGTATGACAATCAGTCATAGTGAAATTTAAGCCATTAACCTTGATACGTTTATGTTATTTTTGTGTCATTTTAGAACTTGAAAAAATAGCTGTAACCCACACAACTGATGGTGTAGCAGCTGACGAAGGCATGACTACAGCTGACGAAGGCATCTTGGAAGTTTGTGATAAACATCGCCGCATCTCCTTTGACGTAGGAGCTAGCGACGACGTATGATGATGTGTAGCGGTGTAGTAGTGGTGTCCCATTTCTTAGGGGAATATTTTCATCCCACCTCTTGCCACTTTGTTTCAAGGGGCAAAGGGAAGGAGTACGAGTAGTGGTAGGGGTAGGCGAAGGGGTATAAAATAAAATTAAGATTAGGCTTTAATGACAGGATATCTTTTCTTATGTTAACTTTGCTAACATTGAAGGAAAGTTACAGGTTCAATACAAGTTAAGCTCCATCAGCAGCATTTGCCCCATAATGTTGGGGGGAAAAATGTGTTAAAAAAAATCTCTTAGTTAAAAAGCAAAAACGTTGATTGCATTTCATAAATCTTTAGGATACAGAAGAGAAAAGCAATCTGAATAGGACATACATGCAAAATAAGAGTCTCTGTAATCTTGTAGCGGTCTGGCATGTGAGTGACCATGTCGGTCATGCTGTCTTCTGAGGTCCGCACCAGTGTGGGGCCAAACACCAGGGCCAGATTTCTAGGCTCCATCTGGAGAGCAAGGAGAGTCAGTTTTAGGGTAAATTTGATCAGAAATTACTCCTCAATGTGTGGCCATTTCTTAAACCTCAGAAACTTTTATGTTTCAGGGATTGATTATTATTAAAACTAACAGATTTAATCTTTCTTGTTATTAGCTAAATGAAGATTTAAAAGATCTTTAAACTTTAAACATGACTTTATTTATTTTTCATTATTTCAGTTTTTCAGTCTGACTATAGCATCAATAAAAAACATGCTTGGGATGTAGGGATGAGATGTGAGGTGTGAAGAAAACAGGAAATTCTAGGTAAATCTTATGCTGTAGTTTTGTTTAGATTATTCAGAGTAAATATATAATATTTAAATGTAATTATATCTAGGACACATAAAAAAACGTAAAAAATCATTTTTAGCAAAAGATGTAATTTTATTCCAAAATTGTTACAAATGTCACTTCCACCATCGTCCTATCCACCGCAAAACACTATTAAAATACATGACACTGTGGAGGGAATTTTTCATGACTTTCATAAAATAATGACAAAAATGAAAGAATTCTCCTATCGGTAAAAACTTTGGGTAATCGTAATCGGTAAGATATTTTTAAAATAAATTAATTTACACTTTATTTTAAGGTGTCCTTGTAATTATACATTAAAGTACTAGTATTTAAGTAGATTAATATTAATTAACAACATGTACTTAGGTGTTCGGATTAGGGTTTGTTTTAGTGTTAGTTGCATGCAATTATGCATAATTAGGGGCCAAGCCCTGAAGGGATAGCCCCTGTTGTATCTGTTAGTTTTCTTCTTATTATTTTTCCCAAATGGGAGTCAATAGCAGCCCTATCAACGGAACATAGGAAAATGATGAAATTTGGCACACTTGTAGTGATGGTAATGACCAGTAATTGGACCAATTTTTGAGTCTCTAGGACCAACTCTATAGCGCCACCACCAGTTCAAAATTTAACTTTTCTAATGGTTATAACTTTTAAACCATTTGATCTAGAAAAATTAAACTTAGTACACCTGATTCATCTCTTTATGCTAATCACATTCAACATCTTACATTAAGACTTTGTCCCTTCAGTAGTGGCCATTTTGAAAAGTACAGTATTCAGTTTTTTCACTACTTCTCATTAAAATTTTGCCCAATTCTTACGGAAATTGGCTCAGATGATCTTTGGACCGAGCCACACAGAAAAGACTGAACATATTTTTGACATTTGCTACCGTTCCCGAGAAATAACTTTCTGAAGTCGACTGTCATTGTGTTTGTTCTCATATGTGCTTAAATGCTTGCTGTGCTCACTTAGCTGCTGTGCTTACACTTGCTGTACTTTTTGCTTGGTGTATTTGCTGTGCTTACAATGCTTTTTGTGCTTAAATGCTTGCTGCGCTGCTGTGCTTACAGTACTTGCTGTGTTGCTGTACTTGATGTGCTGCTGTGCTTGCTGTACTTTTTGCTTGCTGTACTTGCTGTGCATGCAATGCCTTCGGGCTTGGCCCTGTATTGCTGCTTGGAGCTATATTTAATATTGTAATTGCTAGTTTACTTTATTAGGGGCCAAGCCCCTATTGTAATTGTTAGTTTTCCTTTTATTATTATTCTTTCCCAATGGGAGTCTTTGGCAGCCCAATGACTGACAAAAATGGTCAGAATTTGGCACACTTGTGGTGATGGCAATGAATAGGAATCTGACCAACTTTGGGGTCTCTAGGACTAATTCTACAACACCACCACCAACTTTTGGGTCTCTAAGAACGATTATACAGCACCACCAGTTAAAAAATGTACTCTTCAAATTGTTATAACTTTTGAACCCTTTGTTCTAGAAAAATGAGAGTTCACCTGATTCATCTCTTCATGCTCCTCACATGCAATCATTTTTTCACTACTTTTCTTTTTCAAAGTTTGACCAATTCTTACAAAAATTAGCTCAGATGATCTTTGGACCGAACCGTACAGAAATGACAGAACAGATGTTTTTAATTCATCTTTGTTCAAAAGTTATGATGTCATGAACTTAACGGTGTTGTCCCAAAATTGGTTCAGAGGCTGTATCTAGGTCAAACTTTGATCAATCGAAACGAAACTTGGTAGGCTTTATCAACACCATGATCTGAGGGGAGGGGGGGGGGGGGTGCCAAAGCTGGGAATAGAGCCACCTACAGGTCATGAGTTATGAAAAATGGCTATTTTTGCTAATAACTTTTGCAGTTAGTCAGAAAATCATGATTTTGGTTTCTTGCCAGGATCGAACGAACCATCGGGCCACCATTTTGAAATTTGTCATAAATTTCAATATCTTTTAAACAATTTGACATATTGTCACAAAAATTGGTAGGGATCAACAGCATGTCCTAAAGGTACCTGAGAAGTTTGAACACAGCATCACCTAGTGTTCCAGATATATAAGGATTTTTACAAATACATTTATAACTTTTGAAAACATTGTCCAAATTTAGTTTTCTCTGTCATTATGTTCCTTTTATGCCGATTTATGCCGATTCCGACAATATCTCATTTGTCATTTTCCATAATTTTGTTTATCCACCAAATTGAAGTAAATGAAACTGTTTTCTTTGCTACTCATCCAAAAAATGTTGTCCAATTTTGTCCAAAATCTGATCATATGATCTTTGAAACAAGCCGCACAGAAATGACTGAACGAATTTTTGATATTCATTACAAGTTCCCAAGAAATACTTCTCCGAAGTTGACTTGTTGTATTATGCTAGTTAACTTAGCATGCTAACCAGTTGCCATTCTTTTCAATGTGGCTCTTCAGCTATCTGGTTAAAATTAAGCTAAATTAGCAGTTAAGTTAGCTTAGCATGTTAATCGGTTAACGTACTAAGTAATACTTTTGTGGGCTCATTGCCTTGACAGCTCTCCTCAGCAGCCTGAGGAGTGTGCGTAAACTGAGTGGTGCAACTTGCTAAGCCACAAGGTTGAATCCTGTGTGGCACATGCCCAGACCGCAAGAGGTATTGTGGCCCGAAATGGTGCAAATGTTGATTCTCTTCAAGGCATTGTGTCTTTCTGAGAATGTTCTAATCTGAACGTATTAAATATAACATGTGGAGCATTTATATACAAAATCTTCATTTTAAGTTAATTCTCACTGAACCCCGGCAGTGAACGTGCACAGTGATAAGCAATGATCGTGTGATCTAAAGATTGTGGGTTCAATTTTTGCCTAATAGAACTTTATAAAAGTGTGTATAATGTTGTGTCACATCAATTTCTTTATTATCTAGGCAAGCATTGTACTAAGCTTTCTTCCACTTGGATTTGAAATGTGTTTTTTGTTCATTCTCATCTGAACTAATGTTCATTTTGAATTCATTCTCACCTGTACTTCTAAACCTATCTGTTTTTTATGTACATTCTATTTCTGCTGTTTTTGCTCTTCTGGCTCTGCACTGCTGTTGCTGCCCATTCAAAAGCTGCTTCAATTGCTGCTTGCAGCTTTATTATGTAGTTATTACTACGGTAACTACATGTAACGTGAAACAAGAACACTGTAAAATAAACTGTTACTAAAACTTACAAATTTTGAATGGTACTATATGTACATACTACTTACAAATTATGAATGGTAGTATATGTATACACTATTTAATGGGCTATATGCACGCATAACTTCCGCGTTTGACGCAAGGATGCTCGTGCGTTTCCGGTTGGGGAGATTTAAAGCGGAGGAAAACCGAGGAAAATGTATGTCAGAGTCTTCAAAATTTACTGTCCTCTCGTCTTTGAAACGAAACTTTAATACGTTTAGATGTAATTTTATATATAGTTATGTTTATTTAATATAATAAACACAGAAGCATAAACAAAATGAGGAGTGTCTGTTTTGTCTGTTTTTGTGACTAACGTTTCTTTAGTATAGCAATAGAGTATAAAAACCAATATAAATTCTCGGTATAGCATTGGACTCTACGATCGGCGGAAGTAATCCAGCATCCTTAGACCTTCACCGGAAATACCGCCGTGCATAGAGCCCATTTGTCCATTTAAACAAAGTCCAGCAAACTAGTTAGAGTAAAAAGTTTGTTTTCTAAAAGTCCCTAGGGCCAAAAGAGTTGAAGCTGAAAAAACACTAATTTATTTATTTATTTATTTATTTATTGTTTCTTTGTTTGTTTTTGTTATTGTAGAACTATTTCTAGTACAGCATGAACCTTATTCTTCTCTGAATGGTCCGCAACTGTTTTCAGGTGACTGATTAGAAACTTCAGTGTGTGGTAGTAGTGATCCGGCAGGTCAAGTATCTAAAAGAGAAACATAACCAAAGACATCACAAAACTTTGGTAAGAGACTGCAAATGCAAATTAGCTGAAACTGAATTAATAAACTGGTGGTAGGCTACATACAAGTTTCCTCATGGTCTTTAAGCGGTCCCCTGCATCCTCTAAACGGTTGGCGTCAATGAAATCATTATATTTATCTGCAGGTAGAGGACAGCAGTGAGCTGTGTTTTTAAATATATGCAACACCCATTCAACTCTGACGACCAATCAAAGGCTTTATGTGAATGAATTAAAGAGGGGGTTGAGCTGAATATACCATCTGTGAAAAGAGGTTCCGGAAGCTTCCTGAAGAAGGACTTCAGAATACTGCTGATGACGTTCAGGTCTTTCCATCTCTGTAAACAAACAGTATGATTCCTGTTCTGATTTATCCCTGCAGATTCTCTGTCTGTTTTTGTCATACTCCCACCTCACCTCCTCAGCAGTGTCTATATCCATGCCCTTGTTGAGCAGATCCTGAAGAGAAGACACCATGGCATTGTTCCCTGGCACTCTGTAGATGCCAATATATTCCAAACCCATCTCCTCCACCAGACGACAGCATGTCACCACAATCTGTGGGACAAACTACACAAACAAGCATATAATAAAAGTTCATTAGGGGACAGCGGGGCAGAGCCTACTGTAACACTTTCTGACTTTCTCAGTTTGTGTAAATCAACTCGGTTTAGAGTATTTATTTTTTTCAACATTAATTTCACACATCTAGTACAATTATGTGGTCTTGTTTCATTATGACGGTGTATACTTTTTTCTTTATTTACCCCGAAAGAATAAAAGTCAAGTCAAGTCAAGTCACCTTAATTTATATAGCGCTTTTTACAATACAGATTGTTTCAAAGCAGCTTTACAGAGATAACAGGTGTAACGAGGTGCGGCTGAAGCAGAGATTAGGCAGGATCCAAATGCAGCACACACTAACAGACCACAAACTATACAAATTAGACTGGATAGCTGCTACAGGCCTCGGGACTCAGGTAGGGATGGCTGACGCGAAACAGATGTTCCGAAGCTTTGCGAGATCCCGAAGCGCAGATGATTCGAAACACTGATCCGAAGCGTGATTCAAAACACCCACGTCACGTGACTACGGCTAAATGAAGCTTCTGAGTGTTTCATCAGGTGGAGTGGTCCGCCGAATCAGGGTTTGATTGACAGGTCGGTCGGGAAAGATCACACTATCACGCACAGTATAAAAGTGAAGTCAACGCATTTTCACATCGTGGGTTTTTGTGAAAGGAGTTTGGTTTTGAGGTTTTGAGATTTTTGGTGATATAGTGACATTTATAGTGCGATTTGTTTAGTTATATTTAGGCTTCCATTTAAATTTACACATTGACTGAGAGACACATATAGTGACACATTAATGCATAGATATAAATATATATAGACAGATACATGTATTAATAGATAGATACATATAATAGATAGATAGATAGATTATTATATATACATAAATTAATAGATAGATGCATATAATAGATTTTCATTTTCATTCAGAGCCACAAATGACAACATCAGGCCCATCATCATCATCATCAACACTAGTAGAAACACAGGACAGTTTATGGGAACATTTTGATAATCGTATCCGTGAAACCCAGATGATACACAATGCTACAGCTGATGCCATAGTAGAAGTGAAAAAATACCTCAACGATGCGTTTTGGAAAGAGAGAGCTGTAATCTTTCCTCATTTATATATGTCCTTGCTAAAAAAATATCTTTGCATGCCAGCAACAAGTGTCTCATGTGAGAGAATTTATTTAAAGGCTGGAGAAATTATCTGTAAAAAAAGAAGTAGGCTGAGTCCTTCGACAGCAGAGAAATTGATATTTTTGAATAAAAATCTATAAGAAAGTGAGACATTGTGGCTTGATTTCTTTTATTCATTTTTCATGACCAAAATAACATTATGCAATGTGAAGAGACTACAGGTTACAAGCTTCATATATTAGAAAAATACAATAATAATACAAATAAAATAAAATAAAAACAGTTTTTTTGGCTCATTGTATAAAAAATCAAAGTTGTTTCAGATCAACACCTGCAAGTGACCACTAGGTGTCACCGTGGAGACGGGTGTCGGATTGATTCGAAGCCTCGAAACAATATGGCACGTTTGCTTCAACTGTTTCACGAAGCCTCGATCTGCCCACCACTAGACTCAGGACCAGGATACGAGAACAGGAACAACCAATATCAACATTAACGTGCTACAGCGAACTGTAACCCCTAAAATCCACTGGATCCGTCTACGGCGCGGAACGTCAGCGCCACGTTTTTGATGCGTCCCTAGTTCGGCATCAAAATCCACTGGAAGCGTCTCAGACACGTTACAGCAGCGGAGCGTTGGTGACTTCTTCAGTCTCCACAGGGTGTTTTATTTTGAAAATCTACCGGATCCTCTATGCCGTTCTGTGTCTGACTTCCTGCCCGGTACGATGTGCTCTGTGCTGCTTGACGCAGCAAGCGGCGAAAATAGACCTGCTACCTATTCTCTGCGGAGCGGAGCGGAGAGACGCTTCTGACCCCCAATTTCCACCAACTGCGGAACGGCTGCGGATCCGCTCAGGAACGGCGGTGGAGTCAATAGGTTTCCATTAAAGTCAATGTGTGCATTTTCACTGACTGCGGAACGGCTGCGTTCCGACTCCGTCCCAGCTCCGGCGACCGCAGCCCTCCAGAGAAGATACGCAGAGTTTCTATTTTTGCCGGATGCCGGAGAGCGCCGCAGGAAGTCGAGCACAGAAACTAAATAAAACATCCGGTAATTTCCAAAATAAAAATATAGTTTTCCCTTTTCCAACAAGAACAATAGTTAACTTTATTTACACAGCCTACTACTTTCCCAATACATTCAAAAAGGAACCCAAATAAACATTTAGCATTTTATAAGTTGATTATATTTAATTATAAATATTGTACTAGAATCACAATAATCTCCACAAAAAAGGGAGATCGCAGGTCAGCATATAGTTGTTTCCCCTGTACACCTCTGGATGGAAACAAACTGTTGCTGGTTTTGTGGTTCTGTTTATAGAAACTACATCCTGTTATATCGCGCGATCAAACGTAAATTCGCGAGATATCGTGTGTCCTCGTGACTTCAGCTGTCAGTCATGGCCGCAGCCGTTCCGCAACAAATCCGTATCTGGTAGGTATTGAAGGACGACGGAGCACGGATCCGACACGCAGCGGAGCCGATCCGCAGCCGTTCTGCAGTTGGTGGAAATCCGGGGTGAGACGCGCTGCGTCCGCAGCTGGTGGACTTACCCCCAATTTCCACCAACTGCGGAACGGCTGCGGATCCGCTCAGGAACGGTGGCGGAGTCAATAGGTTTCCATTAAAGTCAATGTGTGCATTTTCACTGACTGCGGAACGACTGCGTTCTGACTCCGTCCCAGCTCCGTCGACCGCAGCCCTCCGGAGAAGATACGCAGAGTTTCTATTTTTGCCGGATGCCGGAGAGCGCCGCAGGAAGTCGAGCACAGAAACTAAATAAAACATCCGGTAATTTCCAAAATAAAAATATAGTTTTCCCTTTTTCCAACAAGAACAATAGTTAACTTTATTTACACAGCCTACTACTTTCCTAATACATTCAAAAAGGAACCCAAATAAACATTTAGCATTTTATAAGTTGATTATATTTAATTATAAATATTGTACCTACTAGAATCACAATAATCTCCACAAAAAAGGGAGATCAGCAGGTCAGCACATAGCCTAGTTTTTTCCCCTGTACACCTCTGGATGGAAACAAACTGTTGCTGGTTTTGTGGTTCCGTTTATAGAAACTACATCCTGTTATATCGCGCGATCAAACGTAAATTCGCGAGATATCCTGTGTCCTCGTGACTTCAGCTGTCAGTCATGGCCGCAGCCGTTCCGCAACAAATCCGTATCTGGTAGGTATTGAAGGACGGCGCAGCACGGATCCGACACGCAGCGGAGCCGATCCGTAGCCTTTCTGCAGTTGGTGGAAATCCGGGGTTAGGCCTAGGACACACTGGCTGCGTGGCGTAAGCGTCTGACCCCGGATTTCCACCAACTGCGGAACCGCTGCGGATCCGCTCAGGAACGGCGGCGGAGTCAATAGGTTTCCATTAAAGTCAATGTGTGCATTTTCACTGACTGCGGAACGGCTGCGTTCCGACTCCGTCCCAGCTCCGGCGTCCCGCAGCCCTCCGGAGAAGATACGCAGAGTTTCTATTTTTGCCGGATGCCGGAGAGCGCCGCAGGAAGTCGAGCACAGAAACTAAATAAAACATCCGGTAATTTCCAAAATAAAAATATAGTTTTCCCTTTTCCAACAAGAACAATAGTTAACTTTATTTACACAGCCTACTACTTTCCCAATACATTCAAAAAGGAACCCAAATAAACATTTAGCATTTTATAAGTTGATTATATTTAATTATAAATATAGTATTAGAATCACAATAATCTCCACAAAAAAGGGAGATCAGCAGGTCAGCACATAGTTGTTTCCCCTGTACTCCTCTGGATGGAAACAAACTGTTGCTGGTTTTGTGGTTCTGTTTATAGAAACTACATCCTGTTTTATATCGCGCGATCAAACGTAAATTCGCGAGATATCGTGTGTCCTCGTGACTTCAGCTGTCAGTCATGGCCGCAGCCGTTCCGCAACAAATCCGTATCTGGTAGGTATTGAAGGACGGCGGAGCACGGATCCGACACGCAGCGGAGCCAATCCGCAGCCGTTCTGCAGTTGGTGGAAATCCGGGGTCAGCTGCGTGGCGTGTCCGTTTTTATTTCGGCTCCCATGTTAACAGGTTAGAGCTTGCAGACTGCCTGCGTGATACGCGCGTGTCACCCCTAATTTCCACCAACTGCGGAACGGCTGCGGATCCGCTCAGGAACGGCGGCGGAGTCAATAGGTTTCCATTAAAGTCAATGTGTGCATTTTCACTGACTGCGGAACGGCTGCGTTCCGACTCCGTCCCAGCTCCGGCGACCGCAGCCCTCCAGAGAAGATACGCAGAGTTTCTATTTTTGCCGGATGCCGGAGAGCGCCGCAGGAAGTCGAGCACAGAAACTAAATAAAGCATCCGGTAATTTCCAAAATAAAAATATAGTTTTCCCTTTTCCAACAAGAACAATAGTTAACTTTATTTACACAACCTACTACTTTCCCAATACATTCAAAAAGGAAGCCAAATAAACATTTAGCATTTTAAGTTGATTATATTTAATTATAAATTGTACTAGAATCACAATAATCTCCACAAAAAAGGGAGATCAGCAGGTCAGCACATAGTTGTTTCCCCTCTACTCCTCTGGATGGAAACAAACTGTTGCTGGTTTTGTGGTTCTGTTTATAGAAACTACATCCTGTTATATCGCGCGATCAAACGTAAATTCGCGAGATATCGTATGTCCTCGTGACTTCAGCTGTCAGTCATGGCCGCAGCCGTTCCGCAACAAATCCGTATCTGGTAGGTATTGAAGGACGGCGGAGCACGGATCCGACACGCAGCGGAGCCGATCCGCAGCCGTTCTGCAGTTGGTGGAAATCCGGGGTCAGGCGCGGCTGAAGCCG